CACATGTTATACTCAGTGTGATTTGCGACAGCTGTCATTGTGCCGTCGCACCATGCATGTACCATGCACGGGAATGGAACACGGATGAGTCGTTTTATTACGACAGCCTGCACTGGCTATCATCATCATTGCGTCATTGATTGAAACAGGCCGAAAGCAGCTGCTTACCCTTTGAGTACTGATTTGATAACAAAAAAAACACAGTTGTGCTGTCACAAATTCACAAACATGTCTTGTGCAGTTGTGCTGTCACAAATTCAAAACATGCCTTGAGCTAAGAACTTAGATGCTAGCATCTCAAAGACCTACCCATGTGCGGGAGCACTTCCATCCCTTGGGGTAAACACTTCGACTTCACTGGACTGAAGACGGCTGCGAGGAGGCTGCTGAAGCACGTCGGTTAGATCGGTACTGTGCCGCTGTAGCCGCATGCTTTCACGATCAGAGTTATCAGAGTGTGTGTGCTGGTGATCCCATTGAGGCTGGTATTGACTTACTGGACGCTGTTTGATAGCCTGCTGCTGTTGTTGCTGCTGCTGCTGTTGCTGCTGTTGTTGCTGCTGCTGCTGCAGTTGTTGTTGATGATTGGCAAGCGACTGACGGGTAACCACACCAGCACCATTCTGTGCAGCTGAGCCCGTCCCTTGCAATGGCAGCGATGAACGGCCAGAGAGAGGTGTGTGACCCCGCTGCTGCTGTTGCTGCTGCTGGTGCTGGTGGTGATGACCGTTCTGTTGCTCAAACTCACCTCCGACTGACTGCAGTGGTGCCTGCCTTGCATCTAATTTTTAAAGAGGAACCAAACCAAACCCAGGGAAAGAACAGCCAGAGTCAAACCAAATACAGGGAGAGAACAGCCAGAGTCAAACCAAACACAGGGAAAGAACAGCCAGAGTCAAACCAAACACAGCACAACGGGTAGTATATGAATATGGTTCCAGCCTCCGTACCGGACTCTGCACCCCCCCCCCCCCCACACACACACACACAAATGTACCATGTAAGCTACCATGTATACACCCGTCACGCGCACACACACACACACGCACACACGCACGCGAGCATGTCAACTGTCATCAGTGCATATTTCCAAAATAACAGCAGGTGCTGCAGGTAAGATGCAAGAACAGAACTTCCAGAGTTAGCTTGTCTAGTCATAGCTTCAATACGTGCGTTTAAAAGAAACTAAATACGGTACTGTCGGGCGCCGAAGAACAACCAGGCTAGAACTTCACCAAGCACAGCATACCCATGTATGGTGACTGGTGCCGCGACGGTGACTCAACGGTGCATAGACTGCAGTACATGAAAATAGGAACGGTCTAGGCTAGGAGGCTGACCCCCCCCCCACACACACAGTTCTTTGCCGACCGGCAGTACTGTAAAGAAAGCTGGTAGGGCAGGAGTATATTACACACATAATATTTCTAGTGGGATGAGATACGTACTAGTTTGGTTTGAGCGTGTTAAGGATCCACTCGGTGTTCTTGTCCATGGCGGATCTAGTGAACTGCTGGATGATGATGAAGAAAACACTTGGCCGGATCCACCACCACCGCTACCACCATTTGCTGATGGCATAGCAGCTATTGCGGATGACGCTATGGGTACAATAGCTGCTGGGTTGGTGTGCGATGTTGGGAGTAGGGCTGATTTGTAGGAGACGGCATGGAGGTCCACGGGTGTACTTGCAGAGTTGCCAGTGCGTACGGACGAGAACCTACCTCCACTGTTAGTTCCTGCGCCAGCGTTACCACTGACGGACGATTGGCTGTTGCCATGGAGAGTAATGTTACCAGTACCTTGCTGTTGTCGGTGTGCCGTGGATGGGTTATACGAGGTGGAAGAGGAAGAAGATTGAGATGATCCGATACCGTTGTTGGGGTGTACTTCTCGCAGCTCCAGGACTGTTTGATCTACAATAGCCCTGTCATGTTATACACATACACACGCATACACACACACACACACACACACACACAAATACACACACACACACACACACACACACACACACACACACACACACATATATATACAAAAACACAAAGTTACTTGTCAGAAGATGTGGAACCCAGATTGCAGTGCTACCTAATCCACACCTCGAAGCCCACCTGCCGGCTTGGTGCTTCAAATCATCGCAGGGCCCTGAACATTTGCCTCGGAGAGTAAACCCAATCTAGTTATCGCAGGGCCTTGAACATTTTTACCTCAGATTTTAAACCATAATTATCTAGTTATCGCAGGGTCTTGAACATTAGCCTCACGCTCAGAGTAGTAACCCTATCTACTAGTAGGGGTGAAACGATTAGTTCGAATATTCGAGTATTCGTTCGAAAATCTCAAACGAGCGAGTATTCAAAATTTTGCACTCGATCGTTTTTTGTTTTTTGTTTTTTTTAGTACTGGCATTCTATTTTTCAAAAACTCCTGTTGTACTGCTCATCGACTGGTATGCACGCATTATTCGTGCCTTTGAGTCAGTATTTTATGACTTGGACGATGCGATCACCACGGCAAGTAACGTTATTTTGTTTTGAGATAATGAAAGTACTGGTGAAAATCGTTACTTTACACTCTGTACAAGACGTTGGCGACTTTTGTTCTATGTTCACAGATAATTTCTTCCGAATTAGGCGAGAACTCACAAATCTAGCGCTTTTGAATTTCGATAAAATACTCGAAATAATCGGATACTCGATCGAATATTATGAATGAGTGATCGGTTGGTCAAAATAGATACTCGTTTCACCCCTACTATCTAGCCATTGCAGGGTCTTGAACATTAGCCTCACGCTCAGAGTAGTAACCCTATCTAGCCATTGCAGGGTCTTGAACATTAGCCTCAGAGTTTAACATGATATCGCTGTCTCACTGGTACTTGAAGTACGTAGATTCAAATTTTCACAATGCCAAGATGTGAACTGGGATGCTAAACGTCTTTGTCCACTCTACATAGCTATCTATACAGACACCATCCCTTCATGTACATAGCTATCTACAGTACAGAAACCATCCCTTCATGTACATAGCTGTTTGTACGGACACTAGTATTGAAACGAACAATCGAATAATCGAATAATTTAGAATATTCGTGGGGTGAACGAATAATCGAATAGTCGTAGGAATTATCAGAAATCGAAAAAAAGAAAGAAGACCTATGCTCAGTGCTGATATTTGCACGGCGTAGATCTGCTCGTAGTATTTCTTCTCAATCTCCTCTCCTCCAAGTTTTAATCTCCTATCGGTATCTAGTAATACTTCTGTTCTTTCCATACAAGGGAAACATGGATGCAGTGAATGTGATTTTCGGTCTTTGACCACTTCCGACCAAGACCCTATGCAGAGCTGGATCAGGCGTTGCACACTCTGGGGGGTTATGTACTCTTGGCGGTACAGGTTAACCCTTTCACTGCCAGCTGACCACTCAAGGTGACAAGGCGCTCCCTGCCAGGCTGTCAGCTGAGCTGTACACCCCCTCCCTGCCAGGCACTTTTTACCTCCAGGTCGAAAAATCGAAAGGCCAACTTCTCATGGATTTTTTGGTACTTTCTGTACGGAATATCGCTTTCCAAAGTATACATCGTAGGTAGACAACTCATAAAGGAAGCCATTGCTGTCGAAAAAAATCGCAAAATCCGAAGCACAAACGTGCTGCGCGCTCTAGCGCGAGCCGCTGTTCAAAAATGCATGTCATGTCATGCGAAAGTGCGCCGTGCGCCGCATGCGCTACATACACTATGTACACGACCGGCCCGGACACTCGCGAAGTAAAGTTAGTTGTTGTTTTGGAGAGAGAAGCAGATCCTTTTTTTTTGTTAGCTGGGATTGAAAGATCTGCCAGTGGACCGGAGAGCTACAACACTGGAAGCAGAAGAGATGGCGTGCGGAATGTTCTCTGTCTTCGTGGCAACAGGACTTCAGTTGCGAGAGACTTTCGTCCTGTTGTTGCGGACGAAATTCTTGTTGCTGCCACCAGAAAACTCGGAGAACGAAACGATCATAAGTCGTTTGGTGAAGCGGATCGTGTCGGTGAACAGCTGCGGAATGTTCTGCCGCCATGGTGGTCGTTTGTTCTCCCGATTAGCAGCAGTCCGAATACATTTCGACTTCGGAGAGTGAAGCGCTTCCCTGTTCCGTTGACAAGTGCGGCGTTCGCGGGTGTAATGCACTTTCGCATCAGCTTGCAGTAGATCGTCAGGTATTGAGCCAGAGGTAGGTGTCGTTGTAGAAAGAATATAATTATGTTGTAGCTGACATACCTGTAGTGTCTCTTGACTGTGCTGGTCGCCATTGTAACGTGGTAGTCCTTAGAAAATTTTAGTTCTGGACCCAGTGAGCGCCGCCAGCGCTGTTTCCGCCAAGTTTGCAGTGAATGCGTCCGTGAGGAATCCGTCGTGTGGTTGTCTCTACCCGCGATTCCAACCGCCTATCGCAATGGATAGCCGCCTGGAGTCTTGGGCAATGGCTAGGCATCAAGTCTGAACCAAATGTCATGCTCCTTGCAATGACAGTTGACGGGAAAGAGAAAAAAACTGGCACCGACTCAGCAAGGTGGAAGTGCGTGAGAACCGATTTCTTCCGCGCCGCTCGGCTAAAAATCAGATGCGCATTTTCAACGACGCTGGTTCGATTTTTTTCAAATGGCAACCCATGTTTCTGGCAGCGTATTTCGATGGGCATGGACCTCTTCTAGGGCCTAGTGGCCCTCTACCACGGCTAAACATCTCCAATATTCAAAAACAGCGGCCCAAACTGGGTGAAGTCTGCCTGTCGACAAAAGTCGACGGTGGCACTGGGGACTGCATGTTTGCTTGTCGACTTTCGTCGACAGTGGCACTCAGAGTGCATGAATGCGCTGTCGACTTTCGTCGACAGTGGCAGTGAAAGGGTTAACCGGTTTCGCACCTCCACATAACAAAATCCGATAATCAGCAGAATGTTTTTTTAAACTACTTGAAAAAGTGCTGAAAAAGTGTTAAAAATCAGCCATCATGCGTATGATAGAATATAGATTATTCGTTCGATGGAGGGCGAAATTATTCGATAGATTATTCGTTCGAAGAATCTGTGTTCGGTTTAAACACTAACACCATCCCCTCTCTACAGATACATATTGAACTGTACAGACACCAGCCCCTCTCCGCATATACATACAGTCGTGGACATGGAAATCCGGTCGCATGATCGGGGCCGGCACCCTCAGTGCGTACTGAACGTTGCATGCACAGAGTCAGTGCACTAGTACTACAGTCTACTGCACATGTTGATGGCATATGCGTGCTCACGGCTAAGTGGCCAGCGGGCTGGGGCGGCCGTTTGACCTCCGACTGGATTTCCATGTCCACGACAGTAGTTCTGTGTACAGTCACTATCTCCTCTCTACATAATTATACATGTTGCCTGTGTGCATTCACAGAAGAGGATGATGAGCTGTTTCTGCTGGGATGACGACTTCACTATGGCGCAGTGGTTAGAGCATCGCTGGCTACAAGCGAGGGTCCCTGATTCGAGTCCTGGTGGTGACAGCCAATTTTTTCTTCAGACTTTTCCCGTTTGCGTCTTTCCCTCAAACCAGTTTCTACACAGTCATACATATATACATGTAACTGGCTGTGTGATGACGTACACAACCCTGTGACTGCACGCACACACACACACACACACACACACACACACACACACACACACACACACACACACACACACACACATGATCGAGAAGGAGGACCAGAGGTGCCGCCACAGCGTGGGACCTCAGCATCTGCTGTCCAACCTGAGGGAGAGGTTCTGGATAGTAAACGGTGCATCAGCAGTCAAGATGGCACGCCAGTCGTCCGTTCCGTGTCGGAAGAACTGGGGTGTACCGGCGGCGCAGATCATGGGCGCTCTGCCGGACTTTCGGACTGCCGGGTCTCTCCGACCATTCTCGCACTGCGGCATCGACTTTGCCGGGCCGTTCCAGACTAAGCAAGGACGAGGCAGAACCCGAGCGAAGCGCTACCTCTGTCTCATGACGTGCCTGGAAACCCGTGCCTGCCATCTGGAGCTCACCTACTCCATGGATACCGGGGGGTTCCTCATGGCGTTCAACCGGTTTGTTAAGCAGCGCGGCACACCAAGCATCATCGTCACCGATAACGGCTCAAATTTCGTCGCGGCTGAACGGGAGCTACGAGAAGCCGTGGAGCAGCTCGACCGCGCAGAGATCGCGCGCAGCCTCGCTGATCGACACATCCGGTGGAGGTTCAACCCGCCCAGAGCACCGCATTTTGGAGGTGTCTTCGAAGCTATGATTAAGGCAGCGAAGCGCGCTCTGAGATCCGCACTGGCCACCGCTGAGCTCACTGATGAGGAGCTACACACCGCCATCGTCGCCGCAGAGGACCTCATCAACTCCCGTCCGCTGACAACAGTCAGTGCCGACGCCGCCGACCTCGAGCCGCTGACTCTGCAGCATTTCCTTGCAGGACGCTGCGACCCACCTCTGCCGTTGGAAGAGAAACTGAATGCCACAGATCAAGTCCACCCCAGAGATCGCTTCGCCGTCGTGCAGCGCACAGTGAAGGAGGTCTGGAGGAGATGGCTCCTGGAGTTCGTCCCACTGCTGAACCAGCGCAGGAAGTGGCGCAAGACACAGAAGAACATCGCTGTCGATGAGGTGGTGCTGTGTATCGAGCCTGACACACCCCAGGGCAGTTGGCCACTGGGCAGGGTGAGGCGTGTCTTCCCCGGACCAGACAGTTGCGTCAGGGTGGTGGACGTTGAGATCCGGGGCAAGATCTACCGGCGAGCCATCCAACGCCTCTTTCCGCTCCCGGTGGAGTGAGGCGACGCCCGGTCGAGACAGACAGTTAGCTGCGCTGTTTTGTTAGTTAGAGTGCTGGTGCTCTGACACTGGTGTGCTGTCTCTAGTCTATTTCTGATGTTTCTGATGTTTTTTCTCTTGTGGCTGTCTGCCTGCACTTTCCATATGCTGCCTTCCGGTGCACTCATTCTTGCTGCTGCACTGCCTTGCTCATGTACTCACTCATATGCCATTTCGTGAGTGAAGGGGGAGATGTGCACGCATGGTCATGTGTACTGGTTTCCTGCATTCATGTCTGGAGTAGTCTGGCTGTCATGTTCATTGTCGTGCTGTGTTACCATGGTTACGGTCACGCGAGTCGGCATCTTAGTGCACGACAATGCTGTCTGCTTACGCTCTCTTTGTACGCATTCATGTCAGGCGATAGAGCGGCCCTCATTTGCATGCTTCGACGGGTCCGGGTCTCTGGTTTCACATGTGCCTTTTATGCCACCCTGCTCGGCCTGCTGTGCACTGTGCTGTGCCTTTATGTTGCCCTGCTGTTATAATACCATGGTGCTTTTCCTTTCAGCTAGTCTTCTGAGTCTTCTTCTTTAGTAAGTTAGTTGGAAACACAAGGAAGTTTTGCAATGCGAGTTGAGCCTGAAGTGATACAGTCCAGAATCCAGTAAAGCGAGCCAGACAGAGAGCTGGCCATAAACTGGTCCTTCGAGCCGGATCACGATCAGCAGAAAGTCTCTGTTTCAGTGGCCTGACACGGAGTTCCCACGAAGGAGTAGCAGGAGAACCCTAGGTAAGATGCCCAAGCGGTTCCTCTCCGATGGGGAGCAGGCCCAAGAGCCGAGGCGGTCGGGACGCAGGAGCGGCGGCAGGACGTCCGCGAGCGAGAGCCTTGAAGTCGGGGGCGCGCGCGCGCGCGCACACACACACACACACATCTGCTCTGTACCTTGGGTTGTTCAGCATGACCTTCTCATCACGGCCCGGTAGCTGCATGAAGATAGCACCAAATGGGGCCTGCAGCATTGAAATGTCAACGTAATTGGGGAACGCTGCCAGGAACAAGGAGCGGACACCACGGATGTTCAGCTCCGAGGGACGTAACGGCATGGTCTTGGTGATTCCAGCATACTGGACATACACTACAGAGCATCCACCTGCAGAAAAATACACACACACAGACACACACGCACATACACACACGCACACACACACACACACACACACACAGACACACACGCACATGCACACACACACACACACACACACACACACACACACACACACACAGACACACACGCACATGCACACACGCACACACACACACACACACGCGCACACACACGCACACACACGCATATACATGCATACACACCATGTATCACAATGTCCATTGAAAGAGCACAAAATCCATCAAGTCCACAGACAGTACGTAAATGTACACCAGACCACTTTCCTATTGCCAATAGTGGACAAGATCTGAACGAAAACCTACCAAGATGTGTGCCGGATAACACCACTGATTGGAATGGGAGGAGCTGGTCAAGGTACCAACTGTTTAATTTGTTTATCTCGGACAATCAGCGCATGTACAAGTACAGCGTCGTCTTGTCAAGATGTAGTCGTTTTCCGTGTTCTTGTTTATTCGTCAATAGAAGAGTGTAAAAAGGCAGTCCAGTGGTGGCGATTGAGCTGATGCAGTGGTGGAGATTGAGCTGATGCAGTGATGGAGAAGTACTGTTAGACTTACACTTACAACAACAGGCCAACGAGGATGCGCACGGACGCCGCATCACAGCTCACGTATCGTTCCCTCTTTTAAAGTCTTATTCTATCCTGTGTTCAATCGATCTCTGACCCCCCTCTCCCTCTCGCTCTCTCTCTCGCTCTCTCTCTCTCTCTCTCTCTCTCTCTCTCTCTCTCTCTCTCTCCCTCTCTCTCTCTCTCTCTCTCTCTCTCTCTCAAAAACACACACTTTATCTCCTACCTTGAGTCCTCGGCTGTTGCTGAAGAGGCTGGTGCAGATCCATGCGTGCTTGCTGTTGTTGATGTTGATGATGATGTTGCACGCGTTGCGATGAAGATGCTGAAGACGACGAACCATTCACCAGCATAGGCACACCGTTCTTGATAGCAACGGACGAGTACGCTTCATCCTGGAATTGATCAGACCACAGTGGACGTAAGTACAGTGCAGAGGAACATATCCATTCACATACCACTTTGCGCATTCTCCAGAATAAAGTATGTATGCTGGTCTAGAAAATTCATTGGTAGTTGGACCTGGGTGTAAACTCCTTGCTGTTTGATGAGCACAACTAGCGAAACCATGTGGGTCTTAAACACTGGCCAGGCCATGAGCTCACCTGCCCCTGAATATTCAGTTAAAATTTGCAGTGTGACATGCCTTCGTGGCACAGTGGGTAAGCCGCAAACGGCTGATATATCCCAAGGCATGACTCTCAACAATTCTCAAAACCTTGCAAACTGAGACTAATAGCCTGACTAGAAGAAGCTGCTGTCGGCTGCCTATAATCAACATTTCAAACTGTTTTCACTAGGACTTCCATCGCCTTCTCTTCTGGGGCATACAGGCAGAAGAAGAAACTAACCAATACCGTACAATACTCTTTAAACAATGTACTTTAGGTGATAAAGCAGCAGTAGGTAGATTAGCGAGACTAAACCCGCACCACTGAAAAGGGAGTAAACCTTACAGTAATGGTTCTTCTGACGCATGTACTGACACAAAACAAGTCCTAAAGGTTAGGTGGACATGTGAAGCGATGTGATAACTGATAAGCATGATACCAACAATAAGCGAGAAATGAACCCATGTGTCACTTTTCTGTTTCTGGTCCCAGGCTTCTGCCTAGTGCCGCGTGTTTCACCTACACAATGTTCTTTGCATGTTACTGTACTGGTTAGTTTTGTCAGCTTGTATCAACCTTAACTTTTAAAAGAGAAACCAATGAAAGTACTAGTGAAAAGTTTGCAATGTTGATTGCAAAGGGCCTTTTTAATGCTGTCTTGCTTGGTCTGATCGCATTCTATGTGCTGCATGAATGATATTTCCCCTACTGTGCATGATTGTAATATTTCCACAGGCATTTTGCTTTGCTTTAGATCGTACAGCAAGCAAGAGCTCTTTTAATAAGTAGCTAGTAACTGTTCCTATCTTGAGAGTGGCATGGTATATTGTACGGTTTTAGTTTTAGCAAGTTAACTGTAAAACTAGACAATGTTTGCACTATTACACACATTGGCATAGGTAAGCCTTGTTTGATAGATTAACACATGTAACATGCTGTCACCCCCCCCCCCCCCCCCCCCCCATCAACATAATATTCAGTACAATCATGTAGAGAATCACTCAACATACACTGGTATTATTGGTTTGAGCAACTCAACATACACTGGTATTATTGGTTTGAGCAACTCAACATACACTGGTATTATTGGTTTGAGCAACTCAATATACACTGGTATTATTGGTTTGAGCAACTCAACATACACTAGTACTATTGGTTTGAGCAAGTGAAACGTAAACTAGAAGCAATCACCACAGACACTTTAAGGATGCACCTCTTCGGTGGAATGACGGGGGGGGGGGGGGGGGCGGCCTTACTTGCTTAGCGCATACCATGCACTGTAACACTGTAAAAATGGATCAGCAGTGCTCATGGCTGCAAGGCCAGCGCACCAAGGCCGCACGTGGCTTCTCAACGGATTTCAACGTCCACAACAGTACACGTGTACAGACTCGCAGGGGCGTCGCACACGGTATGGTCACTACCACACCACAGAGCAGGGGCGTCGCACACGGTATGGTCACTACCACACCACAGTCACAGAGCAGGGGCGTCGCACACGGTATGGTCACTACCACACCACTCTTTGCCCCGAGCACCCCATGAATCAATAAAATGCACTGATTTGGGCTCAGAATTTCCAAACTTTTCGGCTCGGTCACCCCTCTCTCACGCGTAAATTGTACTTCAGATGGCTGACCATACTACACTAAATTAACTTCCGACACCCCTGCAGAGTGAATCGGCTGGAGCATGCTATGCTGGGATTTCGCCAAGGCATCTCAACTGATGGTGTAATGACATAACCTTTACTCAGCTACAGGCTATCTAACCTTGTATACCGTACTATCTCTAATATCAGCACAGTCTCCAATAATAGCACGTCTCCAATAATAGCACGTCTCCAATAATAGAACACCTTGGGCCGGCATTCAAAAAATAAAGTGCTCAGTCTCCATTATAAGCACACTGTGTAAATTCATTATCTGTACCGGCAAAAAAACCCTGAAATGTGTGTGTCTGACATGAATTTGGCATGGCAACATGCCTCTGAAACGAGGTTGAAATAATAATGGAACAGTCTCCAACAAAGGAACGTCTCCATTAATAGCACTGGGCGGAGGTACATTGAAAAAATAAAGGACCGTGCTTATATTAGAGATAATACGGTAACCATGTATGGAAGCTCTGTTTGTACATGGTGTGGTGCACAGTTGCAGGACTCAGCCCTCTACTTTGCAACAGTATTCTTTGAGATAATGATTGTTGGTCCACTTTGAAGTACTAGTACTAGTACTATAAAAATGATTCATGCTTGATTTACATAACAAAATACCATGGACAAAACATGCCATTTCACACCACGGCACTAGTTCAAGGCAAAAGTGCCCACCTAAAACAGAACCGTGAATCTAGTTCTTCACTTGTAGATCTACATGACGATTGTAACAATTGTTTCAATCCCTAGGCCCTGAGAGGCCATGTTGCACGGAATACAACACTGATCGGCGCTGACGATAACTCGATCACCCCCATGCCCCATGCCATGGCCCAGCAGCACTGTCACAGCCTACAGCTACACTACAACTACCGGGGTAGTACAATGCCACTGACACTCGGTTTGAAGTTGCACGAAAACACACGATACTCGACGTGAGCGTTTACTCGATGGCAGATCTCCACAACACACCTCGGTTTAGGGTTCGAGCACGATAAGAAATGACCTACAAGTAATTAGTTGATCTGTTCATCTTCACGTTCTCTCTCTCTCTCTCTCTCTCACACACACACACACACACGCAAGTACACACACACACACACACACACACACACACACACACACGCACAGACAGACGGACACAACTGACAGAGCCACATGTCATAACGACGACCTCACCTGCTGTATGAGTTGACCATGGGCATCCAACATCGACTCCAGAGAAGAAGATCGCAAGCGAGCGGTGGAACTTGGGTAACATGCCGCCATGCTGGGCGCACAAGAACACCGTATTGAACACCGCTACGCGCTCCTAAAGAGTAATGTTGATGAACTCGTCCTCCGCCTAGCGCCTAGTGTCGGGCTCTCTCACGCCTCCTAGGATCCTGCACTTACGGGTAGAAGTATGCGGCCGCTTTCAATTCGAATGTGTCGCCGCCGTCACGAGAATACTATAACGACACGTCGTTGAAACTAAGGTACGTGTGAATCCCGATTTGTGCCACTGGCGGCCAGTCTCCTTTCCTCTTCCTGTGGCAGCGCGCAGCAGGAATGCTTCCGACTTCAGAGAGTATATCCGCCGTGATGGTACTATTTGGCCGCTGTTTATGCTGGATGGGTGCCTTGTGGCCAGGAGTCGGAGTCGGAGTCGTGCCGCTGAGCGAAGTAGTTAATGTCAAGACAGAGTCTAACTGCCAGCACATTGAGAAATATTTCGAGATTGTTGCGTCGTGCTGTTACGCAGGGCTCCCACACACGGTCCCTGCGTACATCCGTGCGGAGCACAGCCAGTAGCCAGGATTATTTTTGTGTTCAGTAGGAACGATGTCACACTCACAGATGAGATAGAGTCTAGAGACACGACTGGTAACTGGTATCGACCGAACCCCAACGGCCCCAACTAGGGCCCAAGTACACAATGCACACGATATCAAACACACACGGACACTGAGAATGAGATAGCGCACACATCCACACCAACGCCGGTAAAACTGTGTGACGAATGATGACAGGTAGACGCTAACAGTAACAACACGTCGTTAGCACTGTGCACTGTCAGTCTCTCACAGCCACAGCAGAACCCGCGCTGTTAGTGGTACTGGCTACAGCACTGCAGGGGCACAGAGCACAACGGGCACACTCACTGGCAGCAACGACGTCTCTGTCTTTTCCTTACTTTCAACCGGCTTTCTCACACGCACACGATCTTTACTTGCACTAGAATCATCAGATCAGGGCAGTGATATCGCTCACCCTCCACTGGTAGACATCTACAGTGGTAGTGGTAGCACACAACATACCACCAGTGCAGCTAGGGGGTATAGGATCACCAGGCAGCCACGTTCCAGAACGACAAAAATTAGTTTTGCTCGATCAGAGTGCAGGAAATAGCTGGCGAATGCCCCAGCTCGCCTCTCGCGATCTTGCCCGGCAAACCGGCCAACGACCTCCGATCTCTCCTGTCGTACTGTCGAGCACTTGCTGCTGTGTGCCAGCTAAATGCCAGCGTAACCACCACCGAGCGGGATGATCAGGATTGCTGTAGTGGTGAACACGTAGACACACGCGCACTCCAACCACGGCCACGGACAACGACGTTACGTTTGGATAGGTGTGGATAGCTGGCACGTCGACTGGAGCGTTTGACAAGCCCCAGTACAGGATCAGGTTCCACAAATCGGAGTTCCAGCAGAACCGGAGACCAGTTTTGCAGAACGCGTACGACTCTCCGTTGTTGTACCGGTATGTTATGGCGTACGCTAGCCAGTCTCGTTTATAGCAGCGAGCTACAAACGGCGCTCTCTTCAACTGGTTACAAATCGATATCACCTCCCTGTTCACTAGCACTTTCAATTGAACTGGGAGCGCGCTAAACACTCTACTACTAAAAATGTCGTAAGAAGGTTGGAACTCCTGCACGAAATGCTTCGACTTCTTTCCCAACGACGCCCAAAAGCTTGATCTTGCTAGCCATCAGGGAAAGGTCGAACCCATAAGTACATTGCATTTACAAATAATCCAGAACACCGAGGACTTCCTTCTTTCGACAGTTTTGCAGCTGCACCGCCGCTTGCCGGCTGCATGTTTCGCATAGTTTTTGAACCTCTTCACAAGGCCCGCGGTCCGCTCGAGCGCTCACGAACCAATAGATGGGGATCACGTGATTGATCGTGATCACGTGCATTCTTCGCATACAGTGCATAATCGTGTACAGATCGAGTACTACTAGTAGTAGTCATGGTACTGAGATCTACATCATACATGACTTGTGCACGTAGACTCCTAGTAGTCCTACTCAGTAGGTCTACCTGATCTACATACCGGTAGACCTAGTAGTAGTACTGACTCTGTAAATCAGGTAGATCTACAGTACAGTACTGACTCTGTACTGACTACTGTACTGTACTACACTGTCCCTGCGGGAATTTGCGGAAAAAATCCTCGAAAACTTGCGCAAGAAATTGCGGCAGAAAACAACAAAAAATGCGGCGAAAAGTGCGGAACTTGCCAGGAACTCGCGGAATTATTGGCAGAAAATTGCGGATTTGGGCCAAATCACGAAATTTGTTGTATCCTTAGAATCGCTATTTGCGTACTGTGGAAATAACCTACGAGCAGGATCATGGAAAGCACTGTATACTGCGTGAAAAGTGCAGAAAAATGTCAAAACTAGTGCAGAAAACAACAAAAAACGCGGGAAATCGCGGATTTTTCAGAAAATCGCGGGTTTGGTCCAAAATCGCGAAATTTGTTGCGTCCGTGGAATCGCGATTTCCTGGAGGGACAGACTACAGTAGCAGATCTACAGTAGTACAGTACAGTACTGTAGATCTACTACTGTAGTAGTCAGTACAGTATTTGTCTAGTTTCACCAAGACTATCACTACGACAGTATCACTAGACTAGCTGCCAAGAGAAAAGTAATAATTATTATTGACTAATTCCACCTGTACAGTCAACTCTGCGTATAACGACACTCGGCGGGGCATCAGAAAAATGCCCTTATTCGCGAAGTGTCCTTATACCCGAAGTCTCATTATACATGTATTAAACAGGTAGAATGGACTTTGCTCTGGGCATGGAAATTCTGTCGTTATTCGCGCATTGTCTTTACATGTACGTAACATGTACATCCGCAGTCGTTATTAGTTGCCTGTATACTAGTATATATTCAACAAGTGATTGTGCCACGCACGTGATTGTTGCCCGTACTCCAGCGAATCAGCACCTTTCCCGCCACGGGCAATGATATGCAAAATTGCCTGCAAAAAAAGTTTTGGTGGCGCAGTACAGTATCAGCGTGCATGGTACGCGTGCATTGACCCTGAAGTCAGATATTGCTGATTACAAACAGGCCACGCATGGTGGGGTGTGTTATCCAGCAGCCTATATTGGCTTGCTCATGTGGATCACGTAATAAATTGTTACCATGGTTACTGCATGGTTGCTACAGGCAATAACATGCTATAGTAGCCCTTGGCGGGTAACAGGGACTGGCGGATTCTGCTCGAAAAGTAGTGCAATTAGCTGAACCATACAAACCTTATGGCGGGCAATTCCTCGAATTCTGCTCCATTTCTTTATCCACATACTAAACATGCATGAAACTTACCAGAAAAAGTACCGAATTCTGCCAATTTTTCTGCCGGCAGAATCCGCCGAACCCTAGCGGATAACGCCGGAAGAAAATTGGCAGAACCTTTGGTACCTTTCTGGTACGTTTGAAATTCATGCATGTTTGGTATGTGGCCCAATGGAGCAGAACTCAAGGAAGTGCCTCAGTGCCATAAGGTTTGTATGGTTCTGCCAATTTCACTGCTTTTCGAGTAGAATCTGCAAAGGTGTCGAGCACTAACCTCCAACGGCTATGTCATAATGCCCACAGCAACCATGCAGAAACGAAAACAGAATACGGGTTATGCCCGGGTACAGGGCAGGTCAAGAACGCTACCACCCCATGATCAGGCGTCAGATACTCCTTACAGAGTACTGCGGATAATACCGTACGTACATCAATATACTAGCTATTGCATAATAGATCCGATTATCATATTAGGAGTTCAATCTTGAGCACATCAACGCAGTCCATGCAGTCCACAGGCAATACAGCCAATCAATATTAATATCACACTTCACCCGCCGCGAACAATGAAATATGACAGACTCTCAGCTTTAAAAAAAAAATGCGTTCTTCAGTAGTGGGTAAACTCTCAACGAATAATGCATATGTGTATGTGTAAACGCTGTACAAGCTGCGGCTGTATAAGCCGGAGGGTAAAGCAGTTAGCATTGATACAGTTTAGCATGCAAGTACCGTACCCGTAAAAGAAAAGCAATGTGCACAAGAAATAGGACTCCATCAAGTGTGCGCCAACACACACACAAAACCACAGTTCGCGTGGAGACTTGGTTAGAGCCAGTTCTCTGCATTCGTAGGAATGCCCGGACCACCCTCAAGGGCTAAGGCCTAAAATGCTCGTTTATATTTCATCAGAAATGTTAGTAAATATTCACCGGATTGAGGGAAAGATGCAAACGGGGAAAGTCCCAAGAAAAAATTGACTGTCACCACCAGGACTCGAACCAGGGACCCTCGCTTGTAGCCAGCGATGCTCTAACCACTGAGCTATGGTGTAGCTCTCATACCAGCAAATGTTAGAAATGTTAGAAATGTTAAATATTACACGGTACCACTTAGTCACACAAGGACTACATCGGAATGCATACTGGTCTTGGATGTGTGAATTCAGCATGTGGTGACAATCACTCCGCATGCACAGGGTTGTAACAATTGTTGGGAGAAGGACCCAGTTCATTGAATGATAAGTGTCTGCTTGTGATGAGACACTTGCTGAGAGGATGAGTGAGATAGTGTGATGGTGTGATGAGACACTTGCTGAGAGGATGAATGAGATAAAAACGGCGCAGTTACTTACAGGTTTTCTACTCCAGTGACTTTCAGAGCTACTCTGGCCTGCTTCTCCTCTACCAGATGATATCAGCCCCTGGCCTGTCGATGACGTAATCCCCTGGCTAGCCGATGATGTCATGCCCGATGTCATTGGCACCGACATCATCCCCTGGCCTGCCGATGACGTCACAGCCGGTGTTGCTACCTGCTGCCTGGTGGCTATGTTAGCCGGTGTTCGCTGCTGCTGCTGCTGCGGCCCTGGCAGTGGCATCATCATTGGCATGCTGGTGCGGTTGACACGACGCGCATCTGGTGTACGCGAGCCATGCCATGTGTACTGTGCTGGAGTGTAGCTGCTGCTATCAAGGTCTGTCGTCATCTTGCCAGTTTGTACACTTGAGCCGGTGCTACTGCTGCCTGTGGTGGTGGTGTTTCTGTTGGACATAGACAAGCAAGCACACAGATAGGGGGAGCAACACTCAACAATTGAGGTGGTGCAATTACATCATCAGTGGAGATGCTTTGGCAATGTCGCTGCAGCACAGCGATGCACTGCGGACTAGCGGTGTATACATAGCGCCAATAAGCGGTTAAGCAGTCAGACTCACCACCATGACATCATCAGTTGCATAGCCTCTCTACTACAGGAGGGGCTAGAAAACTGCAATGGTTCAACGAATATACCCAGATGGTGAGTGCGACAACACGATAGACAGAAGCCTAATTGCAGTGCCAAGTCTACACTGTAAACCTGCTCCACCGCCCTACAGTAACATTGGGCACCAATGTCATCCTCCCCCCCCCCCTTTTTCAGGTCTTCATCCACAACAGCACTATTGGGGGCAATAACCCCAAATATTGGGGGCAATAACCCCATCTAGTATTATGGCAATAACCCCATCTATTGGGGCAATAGCCCCAACCTTGGGGATAGAACTGATCTGATAGGAGGCACTAGCACCATGGGGGGGGGGAGAGAGAAGGTACAGCAATACCACAGTGACAGGGGGGGGGGGGCAACACTAACACAGTGACGGGGGGGGGGGGGACAACAGTACAACAATGCCAATGTTCTTATTAGTCTAGTAATCATGTCACATGACTATCACTATCAGCATTATGCATGTCTCACCGGGATGTTGGAGCCCATGGGACAAAGCTCTGGGCGTAGGGGGTAGCTGATGCAGGATCTCTTGTCACAGACGGTGATGATATCTTTCTAACTGATGAGGTCGGCTGACCAGGCGTGTAGGGGAGATATTGCTGCAATGTAGAGTCAGCAGAGACTGCTGCAGAAGTGCTCGGGTAGCTAGTATTTCCAGTGGTTGGAATCCTGCACACAGGGGGTGTGTGTGCATCAGCAGTTATTGCTGGTGAGTCACTGTGCCGGAATGAATTGGTGCGGCGACGAGTGCTACCTATAACAGCCCGGATGTACACACACACACATGCACACACAGAGTAAGAGAGACAGAGACAAAGAGGGAGGGGGCAGATAGAGGAGAGAGAGAGAGAGAGAGAGAGAGAGAGAGAGAGAGAGAGAGAGAGAGAGAGAGAGAGAGAGAGAGAGAGAGAGAGAGAGAGAGAGAGAGAGAGAGAGAGAGAGAGGAGAGAGAGAGATAGACAAACAGAGAGAGAGAGAGGGAAAGAGAGAGAGAGAGAGCGAGAGAGAGAGAGAGAGCATTGTCAGATGAGGTTGGTTTCATGAAATACCAATACAAATCAAAGCTGGGGAGTTCCAACTCTACTAGTTTCTCGGGTTGTCAAACAGCAGCACCTGCCGGAACACTCCCTCCTGCAACATCCCCTGCCATAACACCCCATCCTGTAACAGCCCCTGCCGTAACACACCCTCTGCCATAACACCCCTCCTGTAACATCCCCTGCCGTAACACCCTGTCCTGTAACACTCCCTCCTGTAATATCCCCTGCCGTAACACCCCTCCTGTAACATCCCCTGCCGTAACATCCCCACCTGTAATATCCCCTGCCGTAACAACCCCTCCTGTACCACCCCCTCCTGTTACATCCCATGCCGTAACACCCCAATACAACCCCCCCCCCCCCCACACACACACACAAACACACACACACACACACAAACACACACACAAACACACACACACACACACACACACAAACACACACACACACTAGATCGCATGTGTGCGCAGACAATTTCAAATGTGCTCGTTACTCACTTGGTCGAGTACGTCTCCAACCAAAACTGGATTGTTTCGTGTCGGAGTCTAGTTCAGACGAGTGCCCATGTTCATCGTTGGGTTGCCGTGCAATCTGTGTAAGCTGCTCCTGGTACTGTTTGGCCTCATGCTCAGCTTCTTGATGATACTCTTGCTGTTTGCTATAAGGCTCCTGCTGATCAGGCTGAATTTGACCATGCTGCTGTTGCTGTTGCATTATCTGGTGTGCTTGATTTGCTATGCTTGGTGCTGTTCCCCTAGCTGCATCATCCATTGCCTGTTGCTCCATCATAGCTGAACATTGTGACCTAGTAGGAATGCAGAAATGAAAGCCGGTGCGGTCAAGAAATCACTATACAACGTAAGAAGAGCAGCATGAAGTATTACACTGTACGCATCAAGGAGAGAGAGAGAGAGAGAGAGAGAGAGAGAGAGAGAGAGAGAGAGAGAGAGAGAGAGAGAGAGAGAGAGAGAGAGAGAGAGAGAGATGAGATGAGAAGACCGATGGAACACTCACTGACAGGCGACTCCTCAATGAATAACACTGTGTTTGTGTACATGACTAACCACATGAACATGTGTCAAACGCTGGCTTACTGCTACCACACATCCTCATATTTGCTCTACTAAGAGCGCGGGTTCTTATTATTTCAACCACAGCTCTATCCAACTAATTTTAAAGACAGTGCCATTAGGGAGGTTCCGGGGTGCAATTTTCCGTTAAGCCAGACCCAGAGAGTGAAGATTGTAAGGTACTTTGGCAGTGGTAGCCAGATATTTTCTTCCGGATCGCGAGGGATCCGGATAAAAGAGGACCGGATAAGCGAGGTCTGACTGTACCATCATTGAATGACCTCCAAGAGATTTCACCAGGGTCACGTAACTCATCAACACCATCGTGAACAATCCACTAGCAGCAGTGACATACTAGAGAACAATCAGGGCCACTATCGGCAGTGACATACTAGAGAACAATCCACTATCAGCAGTGACATACTAGAGTTCTCATCACTAGCAGGAGGTGGGTCCAGGGTTCTTGTTTGTAACTGCTGAATTCGGGGAGTTTAGTAGCAGTTATTTTGGAAACATTTCCCTCTGCGCATGCCAATTAGGTTTTCTCTATTATCGACTTCCTTTGATCATTATGCCGGCTTCACACCATGTACTAAAAAACGCTCCGTTTCCAAAGAAAACGGAGCGTTTGAATTTAGTTCCACCTTTTCACACTGCATTGCACTCTGCGCCGTTTTCATTCCAATGGATGTATTTTTAGGACATGTTTGCTGTGATATGCATCCTCCCAGGCCAATTCCAATTCCTAGCCGAAGAACGTAACACGGTGGCGTTTATACTAGGGATGCTGGCATTGCGTTATTCATCGTACTCACATTTGCTGCTTCTGGCCTAAACTACGCCGTTTCTATAGGGATCATCTGTACGAGAACGTCTTCATGTTAACGTGGATTAGTACGTAATGCGGAGAGAAGCCGGCCTTGCGGCTTGATATTGCTTTCAGGTGGATTGCTCTTTGGCCGTTGGGCTGTAAGCCAGGGCTGCTTATCCAGCGGTCGCCGCATACCCTCTCTCGTGTCCAACACCAGGGCTTTTATTTTTTTATTTCATTTTTTTACTTCAAGTCATTATTCTTGTCCAGTCGGGAGTTCTTTGAGTACTGCAGTGCTCCATGTACAAGTCAATCATGTAGGGTTCCGCTAGTGCTCCGTCAGACAACGTCCAATAGACTACACGTACATGTACACACATAAGCAAGTCTAAGCTCTCTGGGGAAGGATTACCGATACCAGTGCATGTGCATGTGCATGATGGTGCAACATCATACACAGGCCGACTAAGAGTAGACTAAGACGGCAATAGCAGCTAAGTGCCTGGAAGTCAGCCCTGCAAACCGAAACATCTTCCTACGCCACTACCAGCTACACCACCACTCATCAGTTAGATTTAGAGCACTGGCTGTGTCTCGCGCAAAGGCCACACCGTCACCATTAATTATACTTATAGCTCAAAATACCGTCATACAGTAGTGCATTCAAAAATAGCTTTACTAGTACTCTAGTATGGAGCTGGCTAGCGAGAACAGAAGAAGAAATCGCTGAAATAACTCGTCTTACCGTTCATGAGAAGAAATTCCTGTCGGACACCGTACGTAAAGTGATCACTGAAAATGCACCGGCGGTGGAGGGTTTTCAAGAATAATTACTTGCCCAGAGAACTCTCTTTCCCTTCTGCTGCACTGCGCACATCCACTTTCCAACTAGGAAAGTCGGGAACGAAGGGGCCGGTACCAAATACCAAAGTCTGAAACAAAAGACAGAGCTATGTAGAGAGAAGCATTTTCTTTTTTCTGCCCAGCACGAGAGTTCGATAGTGCATCACACGATCACGCACGCGGTGCACAAAATGAAAACAACCCAGCGCATGCAGCCGGTTTTGACTTTTTTCAAAAGAGGTCAGTTTTTGTACTACATGTACATGTACATACTGTAGCACATGACATGTGCACAACATCAGCAGATCTACTGGACTGATAATCAGTCCTAATAATTATTACGGAATTACGGTATGTGCATTGTACTTGCACATGAATCATCTCCGGACAGTTATATCCTGGCTATGTACAACTACATGCTTTCTGTCACTCCGTGGTTTTGGTGGTGCACAGCTGCTAGTGTTATGAGCACGTGACACAAACACCAAGCCCACGCGCATAGCGGCATACTGTATGCAAGCATGCATGGCAGTCAAGCACGAATGCATGCCATTGCATTGGTAAACAACGACGTGAAAGAATGTGGCACGCGACTGGTATGTGGCTAGGCTGCTATGATAGATAAGTGCAGTGTCGAACGCTCCATGACAAAGTACTGTACTCGACCAACACTAACACTAGTAACAGCTACAGCAGTACAGTGCAGTGCAGTGCAGGTCACTGAGATCTACACACATGATAACAATAATAATTGCACATGACATGTAGTTATTTCAAGCAGAAGAAGTAAGTAATTAGTTCACAGCAATCATGTAATAAGCCAGCAAAATCAAAATAACTATTGTCTTGTCACTTCAGTTCGCTTTCTAGCCTCTGGGATCTACGGCTGTTGCAGGTCGTCAAAGCCATAACCCGGGCAGCTTTCTGGGAGGTCACTGGTCCAACACAAGCCAACGCAATCCAAAGACTACTTTCCTTGCTTGCCCTGCAGTGCAGTCAGCATTCTATGAGTCATACATCACTCATAGCAAGGCAGAGTAGTGGATAGCGGATACACTGGTCATCACAATTCTACCAGTACTGGCAGTAGCACACAGAACACGCACACTGGGCCACAGTTACTGAATACTGAGTTCATGTCTAATCCATTGTGAATCTCATAATGAAGTGCCAAGAGTACATATTATACAAGAGTACATAATTATGTACTCTTGATAAAACTGTGTACTACCGTACACACACAGTGCACAAGGCCATAAGCAAACTGACACTAGCCATGCAACTCGCAAGAACAACGTGCAGAAAATATTATGCACAGGCGGACGATAGCAGACAGCAGAAGCAGCAGCAACTGTTGCAATTAAAATAGTGCATGAGTAGACGGCAACCTATCGGTATGGTTCTATGAATTGAGAGAGACGGGGGAGGGGCGCTAAATAAGGGCAAGAGTTTGTGTTGGGGTTATGTACTCTTGCTAAGGGTGACAATGCCTGCATTGCATTCAATAAAGGACTAAATATAAGTAATCACCTGAAATAGCACTAGTCTGGTGCTGATCAGTGATCATGTGCTAGAATACGAACACCACAGAAGATAAAGTATTGAATAGAGGACATCAATGGAACGTAAAATATGTTATACAAACATCGCGACACGTAGCAAGGACACAGAGATAGACAGACAGACACACAGACAGACAGACACACAGACACACAGACCAACACACATACACGTCATGTACATGCTGGACGGGGGCAAAGCAGGCACAACTGTGCGTAAAGCAGGCACAACTGTGCATAAAGCAGGCACAACTGTGCATAAAGCAGGCACAACTGTGCATAAAGCAGGCACAACTGTGCATAAAGCAGGCACAACTGTGCATAAAGCAGGCACAACTGTGCATAAATAACCAGTGGCGTATAACGTCAGCCATGAGGATAAAGTTTATTCACATTGGGTCTAGAAGACAGAGAGATGTTATTCTAAGCCGCATCTACGGTTGCAAGAACATAGGAAAAAAGACAGCAGACAGACACAGGCAAACATGCACGCACACGCACACACACACACACACACACACACACACACACACACACACACACACACACACACACACACACACACACACACACACACACACACACACACATACACACAGGTTAAGATCCAAAGCCATTGAAGCAAAGTAGCAATTGCACACCAGCAATACAGTACTCAGTAGTACATGTTCCAGGGTATTACTGTGTTTAGTACTGTGTTTAGTACTGTGTTTAGTACTGTGTTTAGCACTGTGTTTAGTACTGTGTTTAGTACTGTGTTTAGTACTGTGTTTAGTACTGTGTTTAGTACTGTGTTTAGTACTGTGTTTAGTACTGTGTTTAGTACTGTGTTTAGTACTGTGTTTAGTGCTGTGTTTAGTACTGTGTTTAGCACTGTGTTTAGTACTGTGTTTAGCACTGTGTTTAGCACTGTGTTTAGTACTGTGTTTAGTACTGTGTTTAGTACTGTGTTTAGTACTGTGTTTAGTACTGTGTTTAGTACTGTGTTTAGTGCTGTGTTTAGTACTGTGTTTAGCACTGTGTTTAGTGCTGTGTTTAGTGCTGTGTTTAGTACTGTGTTTAGTACTGTGTTTAGTACTGTGTTTAGTACTGTGTTTAGTACTGTGTTTAGTGCTGTGTTTAGTACTGTGTTTAGTACTGTGTTTAGCACTGTGTTTAGTACTGTGTTTAGCACTGTGTTTAGTACTGTGTTTAGTACTGTGTTTAGTGCTGTGTTTAGTACTGTGTTTAGCACTGTGTTTAGTACTGTGTTTAGTACTGTGTTTAGTGCTGTGTTTAGTACTGTGTTTAGTACTGTGTTTAGCACTGTGTTTAGTGCTGTGTTTAGTACTGTGTTTAGTACTGTGTTTAGTACTGTGTTTAGTACTGTGTTTAGTGCTGTGTTTAGTACTGTGTTTAGCACTGTGTTTAGTACTGTGTTTAGTGCTGTGTTTAGTACTGTGTTTAGCACTGTGTTTAGTACTGTGTTTAGTGCTGTGTTTAGTACTGTGTTTAGTACTGTGTTTAGTACTGTGTTTAGTACTGTGTTTAGTACTGTGTTTAGCACTGTGTTTAGTGCTGTGTTTAGTACTGTGTTTAGTACTGTGTTTAGTACTGTGTTTAGTACTGTGTTTAGTGCTGTGTTTAGTACTGTGTTTAGCACTGTGTTTAGTACTGTGTTTAGTGCTGTGTTTAGTACTGTGTTTAGCACTGTGTTTAGTACTGTGTTTAGTGCTGTGTTTAGTACTGTGTTTAGTACTGTGTTTAGTACTGTGTTTAGTGCTGTGTTTAGTACTGTGTTTAGCACTGTGTTTAGTACTGTGTTTAGTGCTGTGTTTAGTACTGTGTTTAGTACTGTGTTTAGTACTGTGTTTAGTACTGTGTTTAGTACTGTGTTTAGTGCTGTGTTTAGTACTGTGTTTAGTACTGTGTTTAGCACTGTGTTTAGTACTGTGTTTAGCACTGTGTTTAGTACTGTGTTTAGTACTGTGTTTAGTGCTGTGTTTAGTACTGTGTTTAGCACTGTGTTTAGTACTGTGTTTAGTACTGTGTTTAGTGCTGTGTTTAGTACTGTGTTTAGTACTGTGTTTAGCACTGTGTTTAGTGCTGTGTTTAGTACTGTGTTTAGTACTGTGTTTAGTACTGTGTTTAGTACTGTGTTTAGCACTGTGTTTAGTACTGTGTTTAGCACTGTGTTTAGTACTGTGTTTAGTACTGTGTTTAGTGCTGTGTTTAGTACTGTGTTTAGCACTGTGTTTAGTACTGTGTTTAGTACTGTGTTTAGTGCTGTGTTTAGTACTGTGTTTAGCACTGTGTTTAGTACTGTGTTTAGTACTGTGTTTAGCACTGTGTTTAGTACTGTGTTTAGTACTGTGTTTAGTACTGTGTTTAGCACTGTGTTTAGTACTGTGTTTAGTACTGTGTTTAGTACTGTGTTTAGCACTGTGTTTAGTGCTGTGTTTAGTACTGTGTTTAGTACTGTGTTTAGTACTGTGTTTAGTACTGTGTTTAGTACTGTGTTTAGTACTGTGTTTAGCACTGTGTTTAGTACTGTGTTTAGCACTGTGTTTAGTACTGTGTTTAGTACTGTGTTTAGCACTGTGTTTAGTACTGTGTTTAGTACTGTGTTTAGTACTGTGTTTAGTACTGTGTTTAGTACTGTGTTTAGTACTGTGTTTACACTTTTCTTATTGTCCACGAACTCCAAAGCAGCCACATACACACAAGTATGTAACTTCACTCTTCAACGCCAAAACAGTCTCTTTACTGTGATTCAAATTAATTTCATGTATAATCATATACTGAATCCCGAGTGTTTATGCGAAATAAAAACCGAGATAAAAATCCTCGGCTTCGCCTCGGTTTTTATCGAGGAATTTTATAAATCGCGTAAACACGAGGGCGAGGTTTATATAAATATTGTTTATAAAATACGACTAAGGCCAATACATACTGTTTATAAAATACTCCTTTTTAGGGAAAAGTGCAGTGCTGCATGGAAAAGTGAAGTGGCATTTATTGAGTCAAAGCAAATTTATTTGAATTTGATAATGTTGATGGTGTGGTCATTAATGAGTGTGGGTATTTATCAAAGGTCAATATATTATACCGTATTATCTCTAATAGGTTATTCATACTACGTTACAATGTGCGTCACGTTTAGGAATACGACGTACTGGCAGACGTCGTTTTCATGCAGGTGCATTCACACAGGCACGCACACGCTACTCGTACAGCTGTGTGTACAGCTTCTTTTGGACACAAACCGCTGGGAACGACAGAACGAAACTCGGTACAGGGGTCTGGATACATCGTCTACGTTTTCGTATCAGGGGTACGATTTTCCCGCCACGTTCCATGTTGTCATGGCTATCCGGACGAAAACGTCACGTACGCCACGTTTTGGGCGTTGTGTGAATGGCCCATAATATAAGCACAGTCTCCAATAATAGAACACCTTGGGGCGGCATTCAAAAAATAAAGTGCTCAGTCTCCATTATAAGCACACTGTCTATCGGTACCTGGTAAAATGCATGTACCGTATTATCTCTAAAATAAAGTACCGGCGGAAAAACCCTGAAATGTGTGGTGTCTGACATGAATTTGGCATGGCAACATGCCTCTGAAATGAGGTTGAAGTAATAATGGAACAGTCTCCAATAAAGGAACGTCTCCATTAATAGCACGGGGCGGAGGTACATTGAAAAATAAAGGACCGTGCTTATATTAGAGATAATAGGGTAATTTAAATCTTTGCGTTTTAAAAACCAAGCTAAACCTTAGTCATTCCTTCGGAAAGGGAGCACAGGGATGAATTTACTGTCATATTTTGCATAGCAGTTTCTGCTATACGAAATCACAATTGTGTAGCAGTCTTTGATTTTGATTAGCATTTTTCTTTGAAGGTTCGGTGTTTGGCACATTATCATTCTTGAGAGTGATGCCAGAAAGCCCATTTGCAGAAAGTGACTGAAGCATACATGTGTACACAGATTGAGAGTACCTGCATCACATACACTGCACTGTGTGCATGTTACTTGATAGCGCAAGCTATCCATGGTTAGCCTGTACGTATCGCAATTTTCTGCGAGTCACGGTGACTTTCGAGTAGCAGTAGATCGATTTTGCATCGCAAACTGCGATGCGATACAGGATAAATTCATCCCTGGAGCATGTGCAGCAGTGTGACTCCATCTTTTCCTCGTGGCTAGTTAGTGTTGTAGTCATGTCGTCTTCTCCTTCCCGTTTTGTTGACGTTTCGCAGGAGCAGCGAGATAAGCTTTTGCAAGATGCTTTACCTGCAGCCACGCGGAACGCCACAAACTTTTGGCTGAATAATTTCAAGTTGTTTTGTAGTTCTTCGAAAGAACCTGTTGACAACTCCTGTAATTTGGAGACCGTCAGTGAAGGTGAGTTGCCTGACATTTCGGAGCGATTTTATTGCTCGATCTGGAAGAAAGACGGTGGCGAGTACAAACGATCAGCCTACATTGTGTGGAGGAGTGCCATGCAACGCCATCTCAACAGTCTCGAGAGAAAAATCAACGTTCGCGGAGAGAAGTTTGTGCGTTGCAACAAAGTCCTGGATGCATATTTGAAGGAGAGAAAAAAAAGATGGTCGCGAGGAGACAGTGCAACACAAACCCAGTATCAGTGACGAGGACTGGTCGAAGTTGAAGCTGTACTTTTCTGACGCCCTCACTTCAGTGGATGTACGAAAAGTGAGTTTTTACGTCTGGTTCCATGTCAGCCTGCATTTCTGTCTGCGTGGTGGGGAGCTTCAGAGCAAGTTACGGCCATCTGGCTTGGAGCTCACAACGATTGCTGGCGCATGGCAAGGAAGCGATAGTTCTCAGCCGTGATTTCATGTCAAAGAATCACAGTGGTGGCGTGTCTGGGTCCGAAACCTCCGGTGCCATTACGAACCCCGAGCAAATTGCTGTCATCCGGAGGCATATTAGCAAGCGGAATCCCCGGCAGGACAGAAGGAGATCTTCTAATTCGCATCTTGTTTTATCTGTCCCCAGCCCCATGCAGTGATGATCAGATTATGTCAATCAACTCGATGAAGGAGCACGTAGCGACCAGGTCGCATCTTCAGCATTATTAATGAACGTCATAACCTTCTATGGTGAACTGAGGCTGTCAAGTTTGGAGGTCATGCTCCAAGCGCACACTGAACTCCTATCTGTGTCAGACTATTTCAACGAGCATGCTATGGCAATCCGATCCTGGAGAAGGACCAGGATATCTGGTTTATGAATGCTGCCCTTGGCCACAACAAACTGAGCAAGTTCATGCGTGAGTTGCCAACTGCTGCTGGATTGTCCAACCAGTACACGAATCATTATGTTCGGGTAACGAGCATCGTCAACCTGAAAGCCGCTGGTGTGGAGGACCGGAAGATCTGCGCAGTGAGTGGGCATAGAAATTTCCAATCACTGAACGCTTACGACCGTCCGACTCATGACGACATGAAGGCTTTGGCCAAAGCAGTGGACAAAGAGAACGTGAAGGAGAAGATGAAACAGTGTGCTGAGAGACCTGCCGCGTCTGCAAGTCCCAGCCCAGCATCAACTGAGTCTGACGTATCCACACTGGTCAGTGCTGCAGGTTCAAGCTGGAACAACGTCACTGGGAACATAGTGCAGCAGCCAGCCAAGCGCAAAAACCGTTTGAGTCTGAAGCTCAAGAAGAAGGCAAAGAAGGAGGAAGGGAGTGAGAAATAACTTGTATTTTCTCCTGATAATTGGTTGTTTTCTTGCTTCGTGTGTGTTTGATGATATCTTCTCACATTTTGTTTGTTTCTGTTGGATTTAGTTCTGCTGATTTGTAGGCTCTGCTAAAAAAAAGGGGTCTTTATTGCTGGTACTTCCTCCGGAAACAAAAACTTCGTGACTTTTTACATGACTTTTCAAAGGAGTTACTGTGCTCGACAGAAGTGTTCTTTTTGGAAGAGAAACACTTCAACACATTCAATCGACATATCCACAATATCTACAGCAGGGCATAGATTAACGGCCGGACATCGGACATTTTCGGCCACTGACTGGACGTTTTCAATTTCACCGGACATAGTGTCTGGTCAAAAGTAAAAAAAGAGCAGCGATCTTTCGGCCTTTTTATGCAGAGTAGGGCTTTCTTCGGAGCTTCGTGCCAAATGCGACTTGCATATCGTACAACTAACACGTACACCGTAGTCTCAGGCGTAGACTTCGCTATAATACTTGATCCGCCTGTAGCAACGCGTTGTTGCTACAGTCAATTCACACTTTCGACCGTTGGTGTCGACTTCGCACTTGAATCGATGGGTTGGACTGCTAGTGCAGTTGTTCGCTCTTGAAAGGAAGATGTCATCTTTTATTTTTCACTCTTTCACTGTACTACTAAAAAAAAAGAGAAGAAACACACTGAAAATGTGTTGTGGAAAATGTCCGGGCATGTCCGGACAGATTTCAAAACGGAAGGACATTTGTCCGAGCTAAATGAAATCTATGCCCTGTACAGGATCGATTAGTGGGAGTAGAGTCTCAGTCTGGGTCGCCATCGCTCACATCACCGCTGAAACCGTTCCAAGTGGCAGGTCGATCGACGCGATGTCATATGTCGCGGAGAAGCTTCTCCGCGTCCCTGATCGTCTTCGCTGTTACCTGAACGCCTGCTGCAACATCTCGGCGGAGACCACGGTAGCGCTGCAGCGCTGGTACTCGTTACCGCCTCCGCTCTCGCTCGAGGATACCTCGGAACAACAAACACAGGCAAAGCCAAACATTTCAAATTTCCTCTGAGGGATATCATAGTCGTACCAGCGCTTCCCGACTGCCGCGATCAGATCTCGCCTGTTCTCCTTTGCGACCAAGGACACAACGTCGAGGATGCTGGAAAAGGCGAGATCATCTACTTTGAGGTCTGGGCTCTGCAGTGGCTGAACGACTTCTATTTTGAACTTGTTCATCTTGCTCTGCTGCGCGAAGTGACGATTGTCACATCTCTGCGTTTCGGAGTTTTGACAACTTGCCGACCTGTTCGCATGCGACAGGGGTTTCGGGGATGGCGAAGATTTCAAAACGCTAGCTGCGATTGCTATTCATTTTCCACTCTTCTTGCTCCTGGGTGCCATTGTCCTGCTCTGTCAAGTGCTGAACTAAAAAATAGCAACGACGAGCAGTGAGCGCAGTGCTTTTCTTCCCATTGCGCCTGGTGGACGAAAATGAAAAACATGTTCGCTTTGCTTTGTTTGCAGCGTCGATACCCTTGCTCTGCGACTACTGTCGGCTCTCCAGAATATGAATCATGCTTCCACGATTCCGAAATGTCATGTCAGTGTTTCAGGCTGACAGAACCAGGGAGAAAGAGTGAAATAACGGCAGCGAAAAGTAGTGAAAAAAGTCACGAAGTTTTCGTTTCCGGAGGAAGTATTTATTACACTACAGGTATTTATTGCTGGTATTTACGGGAAATAAAAACTACTTTCTCAAACACAACGAACAATGAAGGTTTTTAAAAAGCATGATTTAATAATATATAAATGTACATGTAGGTAAACTAAATATTGCGACAGAGCTTTCGGCTATATTTCCAAAAATATTATCTCTCAACGGAAGTGTCCTTGCTGGTGTCTGTATGGTTCGGCTGAGAGCGCGCGGTTGTGACGAGTTGGGAATGCAATAAAATGTACATGTAGATGTACTGAGTTCACACTGCAATCGTCTTGTTCTTCTCAATTCTCCTGTCAGTCCCATTCATGAGTGCTCCCAGCTGATGCACAGATACGTGCACTTTACACTGAAATTTCCAGTAACGAAATACCGCAGCGTCTTGTAATAAAGCCTGTCTCATATATAGAAGCCTGTTTCGAACAGAAGCCTGATTTTCAAGATACACTGTCGGCACATAAGCCTGGTTTTAGTGTTGACATACATAGAAATACCTGTCTTGTATAGAAGCCTGTCTCATGTAGAAGCCTGCAAAATTTCCGCCCAAAAGTCGTATAAGCCGCTGCTTTTATACACGACTTTACGGTACATGCAAAATTGAGTACCCCGGCATGACACAAAGTCTACAGCGAATCTCACTCACACGAGCGGATCGTTGAATTTGGGTGAGTTACGAGTTATGACCAAGTTGGGAACTTGTGAGGTTTCCCATACTGTGTGGTGCTTGACACAATGCAGTCTATAAATCAGGGTTCATTGTTCATTGTTGTCTAAAAAATCACGGTTGGGAGAGATTAGGTTGGAGGTCGAGTTTTCCGCATCCGTAGGAACGCCACCACCCTTCAAGGATCAAGGCGCAGGTGCAGTTTCTAAAGCGGTGGGAGGCGAGTAGATCAGACCCACCTGCAAAGTGGTCAGAGATCGAAAAATCCTACTCACTATTGGCTAGTTATTGACAAAAACAAACACGAGCAACAGCATAGTAGTACCTTGGATAGTCTGCTCATCTTCAATGTCGCGAAGGTCAAAGTGAGAGATGGAGTCGAGCAGCCACGCTAGGCTAACAGTGCAGAGATGAGGTGTGACGAGTTTGGCCGGGTGCCGTTCAGCAGCATGGTCATACAGGATGAACTGACTGCAGTACGCCAGTGGACTACCGACCTGTAGCAACAGGGACAAGAAGAACACCACCAGTGAGTCGGGTCCATTGTTATTAGGCCCATGTCCGTCTCGATTAACACTATGAATACACTTTTAAATGAACTGTAAGGCTGAAACGCTTATACCGATTTACTCGGTACTATAAATTTATCCTTGGCTCTCCATCCGAGTCCATACTCGGTAATCAATCGATAACTCCTGCCTATCAACCAATCGTTACGTTATAGATCACTCTTTAGGAAATTTGAGTAAAAAAATACCGAAAAACCATGTTTTTGTGAAGTTTCAATCAATTTCCGTTGTGAGTATGCAGTTGCCAGGAGTATGGTTCGTGTTCTGAGGTTCAACTGAATTCAAAACTGCCGTGTTTTGTATCTACCCTTTCACTAATACAGACCGTTTGGTAATACGAAGACATAGCTTGGGGAAACGGAGTCATTTTGCACAAAATCTGACACTGTTTGCTAATGATTATAATTGATTAATCGATCGTTAAGCTAAAGAGTAATCGATAGGTGAAAATCCACGATCGTTTCAGCCCTGAAATAAAGTATACAACATCACCGCCGCCACCACCACCACCACCGCCAACACCACCGCCGCAGCAATAACAGCAGCAACAGCAACAGCACCAGCAGCAGCAGCAGCACCAGCAGCAGCAGCAGCAGCACCAACAGCACAAGCACCAACAGCACCACCACCACGGCACCATCAACAGCAGCAACAACAGCAGCAACCAATTTTAAAAGACCCTATCCATGCAAACAGTCACTCATTGCGACATGCACAAACACTAACACAGTTCTGCTGCAGGCACTAGATGCATATTGCCAAACGCAATTATAGCGATACAATGGGAAAGCCACGCCAACGTGTGCTATGATAGCATCATTCAACTCGCAAGGCTGAAAAACTGACCACCACGATAAGCCTAGTCTACACCAGACAGCGTTGAAAGCGGTTTCAGGTCCGTGAATCCCTACACGCACAGGCATTCACACACCTGAATCCCTACACGCACAGGCATTCACACACCTGCACATACATACATACATACAGACAGACAGACAGGCAGATGGAGAGACAGACACCCGGTGAGCAGAGGACAATCACTTACCCTGGCATGAAACGGTACAGTGATGGCCCGGGCTGCTGTCAAGCGGAATGTCCTAGGCATTGGTGCAGGTGCTGACACCAGTGACGCCGCCGCGGCTGCTGCTGGAACTTCTTCTGCCGCCATTGCCGTTGCTGCTGCTGCTGCTGGAGATGTGACTGGTGATGTTAGTGTGGCTGTGGCTGTGGTTATCGTTCCCAACGGGGTTTCTGGATCAGCAACATGACCTGTGCTGCCAGTATCCTTTGCAGTAACATACCTGCTGCTGCTGCTATCGCTCTCCACATCTGCAGCAGTTGCACTGGTACTCGATGATGCAGTGGCAGCGGTGGCGGAGCTGGCAGTAGTGGCAGCGGCGGCGGTGGGAATAGAAGAGATGGCCGGTGAAGAGTCAGATTTGTTGCGTTGTTGTTTGACACGCTTGCTAGCAGGAGGTGTAGTCGAGGAAGCACTCTGCCGCTGCTGCTGCTGCTGCTGGTGGTCAACATCGGTCAGAAAACGCCAGTCCACACGTGGCTCACGTGACAATAACTTTCCTGCAGCATTAAAACCATGAAAGGCATACATACAACATAATTATGCAGGCTGCACGTGTGAAATTGAACAATCTACAATGATGCAAATATAGCCACAGGCAATTTCGCTTTGTGATGCAAATACAGTGCTGCTCAAAGAAATCCCATCATGCGAGTCAATGCGTGTCATGCCGGCCGCTGTGCAGCCCCAGACACGTGAACACGGGCACTGTGCAGCCCCAGACACGTGAACACGGGCGTTGTACAGCCCCAGACACGTGAACACGGGCGCTGTGCAGCCCCAGACACGTGAGCACGGGCGCTGTGCAGCCCCAGACACGTGAACACGGGCGCTGTGCAGCCCCAGACACGTGAACACGGGCGTTGTACAGCCCCAGACACGTGAACACGGGCGCTGTGCAGCCCCAGACACGTGAGCACGGGCGCTGTGCAGCCCCAGACACGTGAACACGGGCGCTGTGCAGCCCCAGACACGTGAACACGGGCGCTGTGCAGCCCCAGACACGTGAACACGGGCGCTGTGCAGCCCCAGACACGTGAACACGGGCGCTGTGCAGCCCCAGACACGTGAACACGGGCGCTGTGCAGCCCCAGACACGTGAACACGGGCGCTGTGCAGCCCCAGACACGTGAACACGGGCGCTGTGCAGCCCCAGACACGTGAACACGGGCGCTGTGCAGCCCCAGACACGTGAACACGGGCGCTGTGCAGCCCCAGACACGTGAACACGGGCGCTGTGCAGCCCCAGACACGTGAACACGGGCGCTGTGCAGCCCCAGACACGTGAACACGGGCGCTGTGCAGCCCCAGACACGTGAACACGGGCGCTGTGCAGCCCCAGACACGTGAACACGGGCGCTGTGCAGCCCCAGACACGTGAACACGGGCGCTGTGCAGCCCCAGACACGTGAACACGGGCGCTGTGCAGCCCCAGACACGTGAACACGGGCGCTGTGCAGCCCCCCCCCCCCCCCCTTCCCAGACACGTGAACACGGGCGCTGTGCAGCCCCAGACACGTGAACACGGGCGCTGTGCAGCCCCCCCCCCCCCCCTTCCCAGACACGTGAACACGGGCGCTGTGCAGCCCCAGACACGTGAACACGGGCGCTGTGCAGCCCCCCCCCCCCTTCCCAGACACGTGAACACTGGTGAGGACGCAAACTTGACTCACGCGATCGGATTAGAGCAGCACTGTACTATGAATACAAACAGAGTGCATACATGTACTGCATGAAAAGCAGGTCTCGGTCAGAGTGCATATGTACGGCATGATGCGTAGGTCTCAGTCACACGGCCTCAAGTTTGATGCTGGACGCAGTGTCAAAACTGAGCACTTGCCATTGACGTCGGTCACACTGTATTTGTGTTTGCTTGCTGCTCATGACTGCCGCGGCCAGACACACTTCATAAAACCATTCAGTGGAGACATAAAATTAATCACTATGGTACGGAACGCTACGTGCAAAGACACTGTTTTCAGGCAAGTGCTAGCAGCGGCAACGCAGCCAATTTTCCCGAGTCTTCGTCCGTCGCCATTAAAAACTTATTATTCAGATGCTGACGCGAAATTTCGAACATAGTGTGACCAAGGCCTTGGGAGGGTAGACACGGAACAATGCATTTTTGACTTGTCATAAATGCAAGAGCATCATACCGGTACCTCATAGAGCAAAACAGCTCTATCTAGCCAGAACATCACACCATCATGGCTGGCATGAGACAGTTAACATCATTCCAAGCCAATGCAGTGAAGAGCAGCAGCAGCAGCAGCAGCAGCAGCAGCAGCAGCAGCAAACACAGCATCATGGTTAGGACCTGGTCAGATTGCGGCAAATTTCCTGTGCCCAACGAAAAAGAAAATCAATAAATCCCGATCCCACAAATGGGGAGAATGAAAACTCAATATTCAATGCCAGCGTCATGTGACACTCAACCATAGATTCCTTGGAATTCCTTCACCTCGGCATCCCCTATGCCTTCAGTGCAATTCTGGCAATCGTTCTTTTGAGTTTCTTTGTTGACCGTGGCCGCTCAGCACTTCAATACCGAAATGAAAAATCAGTGAGTATCAGTGACCATGGTGTACCAGGATCCAGCTCCTGTTTGGAACGGAAGAGTGACATCTTGCTTTTCCGCAGAGGCGTCAAACCTTGATGTTGCCACTGTGGGCAGTGTGGCACCAAGTTACCATGGAGATTCGGATTATAATCCCAGGATTATTTCCATTTCTGCCCCCCTCCCCCATAGCTGCCGATTTAAACCTATGATTTACCTTTGCCAGTCAGGATCAAGTCCGAGAGGTCATCACGAGCAACGCTACAAAAGTCACCATACAGGTAGAAGGAACAGCCGTCGAATAATCCAGGAAGCTGTAAATCCATAACGTAAGCATGGGCATGCACACATGCACACACGTGCACACACATGCACACACACACACACACACACACACACACACACACACACACACACACACACATGCACACACACACACACACATACACACACATACACACACACAGCAGCAGCAGCAGCAGGATTAGCCAACAATCATGCATACAAAGGAGGAACAGAACTAGCAAACGACGCTCAAAGAAGAGAACACATCATTCTACTGCGAACCAGAAACACACTGCTAGCACACTTCACTGTAAATTGCCCAACATCCGTATTTCCACAGAAACGACTGTATTTTCCCAGTCAGCCACAATCAGGTGCTATGAAAGGACCAAACGACTTGTGCTAAATGCATTCAACTGATTAGAAAGGGTGCAAGTGCCACATCGTTGTATTTCCTACCCTTTGGGCATGATCGGGTTAACAGCACTGTCCGATATGTATCTCAACTTCTCAAGGTGTATTCGTATCAACAATAATGGGATATTCGCCCCTGCACTTTGTACAACAAGCAACAATGCGTGGCACCTGAAATTACCTACTGTAATAAAGTCAACAAATATTCGGCGCATATTTATTTTCGGCTATTTTCGGCCTCATCATATTTGGCCGAGGGAAAATTTGTTGCAGCCGAAATTTTGTTTTGCAAAGTTCAGGGTGACAGTGTATACAGGCAGCAGCAATACAGGCCAAAAAATTGTTGCAGCCGAAAAGTGATTTAGCCCTGGGAGGCCGAAAATGTCTCGACTTACAGTCAGTGAAAAGGAGAAATGGCCATGTGAACTGATAAGAGATGCAGCAAAGGTGAGTCGTCACTACGACCTGAACAAAAAACCTCGCCATGGAATTACTCTCCCGAAGATCATCACCCCAGTGAGTGCTTTAGATTTTTCCCGAGAATCAATGTTGAATCCAGTCATGAATCGCCCTGAATATTCTCATCACCCGATGTGAATGGGGTGAATCGATTACGAACTGATTCCAAGGTTCATGACACGAAAATCGAACGACGAGATTCCATTCATGAATCGATTTATGGCAGTAATCGAACGCACCCACTGTTTGTACTCTTGTTAGCACGGACCATTCATAAAACCTCCTCAAATTTCGTCCAAAAGTGAAAATAACTCTTTAGTCCTTTAGACGCAGGTCGTTGAATGTCTCGGTACTCTCTGCCAGTTTCGTGCTTTGCTGTCACACTCTCTTACTGTATACGATCTGGCTACAGTGAAACCTGTGTAGGGCGATCGCTCAAGGGACCTTCAAAATGTGGTCGCTATGTACAGGTTGTCATTTGACTGAAATTGGCAACCCTTGGTCCTGGTTTGTAGTGGTCCCCTGGGACAGGTGGTCGCTTGATCTGAGTGGTCGCCTTGACAGGGTGTACTGTACATTGGTGGAGGATTAGTCATAACTTGTAACATGTTCTCCTTCATCTTATCCCTAAAACTGAGAGCAAGAAAACTAGAGAGGACCTCTTAAAAAAGATCTTCACCAAGAAACGGTTTCACATTTCATCTCTGTCTTTCCGATAACCTGACCAATTCAGTGACACTTCCCAAAAATTACACAACTTGCACCCATAAAGCACACCAGTGTAGATCATAAGAAAACTCTTGACTGTACCTGATTCAAGGCATTGAGACGACCTTTGCGTGGGGCGAAGTAACGCTTCTCACCAGTACCCTCAATTTCATGTTCCACTTCATCAGCATATTCACCGGCTAAAAGGGAGTTGCGTACCCCTGCATATGCACAGACAACAGACACAAACATGCACACACACGCACACACATACATACAGATGCGCACATCAATAGACAAACAGAAAGACAGAAAGACAGACAAATAAACAGACAGACCCCCCCCCCCCCCCGACACACACTCCGGTACATACAGACACACAATACAGAGGACAGGATAAGATTCATAGCCATAGGTGCAGTAGCCCGAAACACCATTTGCCATATCTGAGTATGCCTGGACTGGACGCAAACATGGATGAAGAGGGACAGTTTTCAATACTGATCCACTCCCAATGTCACAGCAGTGCCATGTTTTGCAAGGACAATAGTGATCACACAACCACACAGCAGTGCCATGGGAACCAGCGAGCCAACGAGCTGCCTGTTGGATAAGAGGTACTGGTTTTTACTGTCAACACTTCAAAGTACAAACATCTGTCACTTTACGTATATTTTGGTTAAGGCTCACTGTTTAAGTTGTTTTAACCCTTTAAGAGCCACAGGAAAATTTCAAAATTCTGCATTTTTTCGTGCTCCTTGGATCATAGCTTCAGTTCTACTCACTCAACCCTCCCAATCCAAGACTTCCTGGAAAGGTCTCCGCGAGAGGAAGAGAATGAGGTCGATCATGATAGCCAGCACACCATCTATCCAGCGCTAGAACGCAGCGACAGTACGAAAAATGCCCCAAATGCGTCCAATTGCGTCCCGCTCCAGATATTTCATTTTACTCGATCGTGGAGTTCCAATTTTTTCGCTGTGTACTCTTGACAATATCAACAGTGAAACCCGTGCAAATTCGAGTAAACCAGCGTGACGAAAAGTCTCAAAATTCTCAATACTAAAGTCGCACTGCGCGCTTTTGAAATTGCCGCGATCGCGGCTCAACTTACGGGTGATTTATCTCAGGAACCGTTGCTCGCAGCGCTTCGCGGATTGTTTCTCCCGACAGGTGAGAGTTTTCTCTTCGCCCTGGATATTTCGATCACTGGATTTGAGCGAGATTGGACTGAGTTACGATCCTTTGAAGTTTTGCATTTGAATGCGTCGTTTACGACGCATTCAAGTATGGGGCGGCTCTTAAAGGGTTATGTGGGACAGAGTATAATTATTTGCTTACAGCTGAATCCAACAAGCCATGCTCCGGACAAGATAGCCTTGAGCACCTTGATAGTACGTGGACAGCAGCGATTGTCATCCATTGGTGCAACTACATGAGTAACTGCAAGCACATACCGTTACGTGCAAGCAAGAAACACACACACACACACACACACACACACACACATATACATACACACACACACACACGCACACACACACACACACACACACACACACACACACACACACACACACACACACACACACACACACACACACACACACACATACGCACACATATGTGCACACACACATGCAAACAAACAAAACACAGATATAACATGCAAATACTAACAGCAATGAATCAAACAAGTCTCTTTCCGCTGTTACTCCGAGTTTCGTGTGAAAATACTTCATCAGACAGCATATGACCAAGACTAACAATCACTAGAATATATACGGATGGTCTTGATAGAAGAGGGCAGAGGTACATTTCAATAGCGCGAGGAAAATGGGTGACAAAAAAACATACAGATAACATGCAGATATATTAAACATATGTACACACATACAACATGCACACAACAAACAAAACACAGAAATAACACATGTGTGATTTTTACCAAAATGCAAGACCATAACAAACAGGCAAAAGCATAGATCTCCAGGCTTCGTAACTGCAGCAGGGAGTATTCAATTTCAACCGACACTTCACCAACGCCCTAAAGGGCCATCACATCACCAATACCCTAAAGGCCTATCCCATTGCCAACCCACTAAAGGCACATCACATCACACACATGTACAAACTGGATGCTGGACCCAGTCATGATGACATCACTGCTGAAGTTACACATTATAAAATATGTGCAGCGTGATGTAGCATTGACAATGACAACAACGATGGCAAAACACCGCCACCAAAAAAAGAAAACCAAAGCAGCCATCAGGCATGGTGGAAATCCAGAGTCGAGCAATGACGGGAGCTCCGAGGCAAGGACAAGCACAACGCTACAGTGACAGAATCGAGCAATGAAGGGATCCCCGTGGCAAGGACGAGCACAGAGCTACAGTGAAAGAGTCAAGCAATGAAGGGATCCCCTAAAATGCTACAGTGAAAGAGTCGAGCAATGCAGGGAGCCCCCGAGGCAAGGACAAGCACAAAGCTACAGTGAGGGAATCGAGCAATGAAGGGAGCCCCGAGGCAAAACTAATCCACTTTGCCAGAATAAACGACCGACAAACTCACCATTCTTGATGTAGTCTTGCACAACATAGGCCTTGTGGCGATAGGCCAATCGTTGAACTTGATCCTGGATCATTTGTACCAAGGACATATACATGTATAAGTACAAAGCATTGTCCATGCACACACACAAGCACTAAGTAGGCTTACTAAGAAAAAAGCCACGCACGCAACTTCTAAAAATAAACTCACCCCAAAATACTGACACCAAGTCTTTTAAAAAATGAAAACCAAGAACTAGAACTCAAAAGGACTCGAGAAATTGAAATCTTTCAAACAATTCACATAAACCACACCCAGAATACAGCCAAACAACAATCCATTTACCAAAAACAGGTGCTGAAAGAGAATGGGGCATCAACAATTCAATGACTAACAAGAATAGAGAAAGTACATAGCTGCACTAGTGTGTATGCTGAAGCGAACCAGTTGCTCCAGAAAACGAACAAATCAGAATTCTAGCTTTTTGACATACCTTCTCGTCATGGTTGAGACCAGATGCGATGATGCAAACAGTATTTGTGTTGTCACGGGCACTGGGTGACGTCTACAGTATAGGACAAGTGTACACACACGCACACGCACACACACACACACACATACACACACACGTACGCACGCGTACGCACGCGTACGCACGCACACGCACACACACACACACACACACACACACACACACACACACACACACACAATGTGACATATTCCAATTTCCAAGAGAGCTATATTCTAAAGCTAGGGAAGAAGCAGAGAGGATGTTTCCGCAGATACCCGTGCTCCTTGTGTGCTCTGGATGGCAGCTGTAAGTCAAGTGCTTTGGGCTTTTTGGCCTGCCCTGGCTATGCCCTGATAACGACTTGGTATAGTCAGACCCCGCATAATCGCACACATCTGTTTTCCACAAAAAAATATCCGAATAGGCGAGGGAACCGGATAATTGAACACACATACTGTATGTATACATGACATATGCTGTAAATCGGTAACCAACGATTTTCTTCCGGATGGCGAGGGATAAGAGAGGACTGGATAAGCGAGGTCTGACTGTACTGCCGTGGACATGGAAATCCGGTCGGAGCTCAAGCGGCCCAGGGCGCTGGCCATGCAGCCGTAAGTACGCATACGACCAACATGACTTGTGCACTGCATGCAACGTTCTGTATGCACCGAGGCCGACCCTGCACCATTCAACCGGATTTCCATTTCCACGACAGTACCTATAAAGCGGCTTGTGAACGACCTCCTGCCACAACAGCACTGTGTGTATTCAGCTGCATGTGGAGTTGGTCAAAGATCAAAGAGACATGAGGAAACCAGTGAAAGCTACACATTGTCTTACCTGTAGGTCATGAGCTGCCTGCTGCTGTGCTACTAGCTTCTGGTCGTGTTGGCTACCATTGCTGCAGCTGCTTGACAGCACCTTCTGCATCTCACTAGATAAGCAAAGCTCCAGTGGAGTACATCCCCGGCTATTCCTGTACGCGTCACAGAGGAGAGAGAGAGAGAGAGGGGGGGGGGGAGAGACGGAGAGAGAGAGAGATAAACGGAGAGCGTACATGTATATTTGTTCCTTTCACCTCATGCAGTGTATTACATATAAGTTTCCGTGCATGGCACGGTAAGTGAAGTTAGCAACCCACCAACAATTACATTCCTAACATAATTTGCACGTACTTGCCATAGCGCATCACGTGCCCGTGCAGAACACGCACTCCGAACTCCCGCGCTCCGGCACGGGACCACGCGGAGCATGCGCATTACTCCGGCTCTCGATGCTGTTTCTTCATCCTTGCTGCACCAACAGTCAGATCGCTTGACAACCTTGGCCAGTTTTTGAACAGTTTTCGAGTGACTTCGCTTGACAACCTTGGCCAGTTTTTGAGCATTGAGCACTTTCCATTTCCGAGCAACCATGTCTGAATCTCTGTCAGTGAACGACGCCAAGAAAATGCGCTCTGTAGAGCTGCGACAAGAACTGGCGGCCCGCAATTTAGACACGACGGGGACCAAACCCAGGCTGTTGACTCGCCTGCTCGAGTCATTGGAGTTCACTGCAGTGCGCGAGGACTTGGCCACTCAGGCAGCCGAGCAGAACCTACCCCAGGCAACTGCTGCTCCGTCCCTGAGGGACATTATCCGGGAGGAGGTCCGTGCTGCCCTTGGAAATCAGGCCGCAGCTCCAGTCCCGCCGGCAGCTCACGCAGCGGCACCCCCACCGCCAGCTCACACAGCGGCACTCCCACGGCAAGCACCAGCAACTCCGCAGGACGCTCTGCCTGCTCCGCATTTGGCGGCTGCCGTCTCACCGCCAATGAACCCCGCAGGTAAGAGAACGTTTTATGCAACCGTGCCGAAAGCCATTCACGATAAAGTAGTAACTGGCCAATTTGTTGAATTGGGCTCATTGTTGCCTAACCCGTCCCAAGGGGACACCAGCCGCAGCATTCTCCAGATCGACCACGACAGCTCGCAAGGCGCAGTGGTCCTAGCACCGGCCAACAGGCCCTCCAGGAAGGTCGAGGACATCGATACCTGGCTCGACGCCTGGACAACATACTGCGCGATTTACGCCACAGCACACCCCTCCAGGGCCCCAGAGCTGTTTGCGTACCAGCAGATTATCCTGAAAGTAGCCCGGAAATTTCGATTTGAGGCCGTGCAGGAGTATGACCGATCATTCCGCTCACTCCTGGCCGCGGACCCAACCATGCGGTGGGACGCAATAGTCCAGGACCTATACACAATTATATTTGACGCGCGGGCATTTCGTCCCTTTCGGCCCACCGTCAGCAATGACGCTCGTTCCTTTCGGCCCAACAGCAGCAACGACGCTCGTTCCTTTCGGCCCAGCAGCGGCAACGACACGGTCGACAAAGAAGTATGCCGCCTCTTCAACCAAGGAAAGTGCGCCCGCTCCAACTGCCGCTTCGCCCACAGCTGCCTCTCTTGCGGCCGCCTCGGTCATGGCCAATCCACATGCTCTGCTGGCCAACCCCGCAGCTCCAATTAGCTCACACGCGCCTTGGTCCCCTGTAAATATTCCCCTGCTGTTTGAAGAGCTATCCCAGCACCCCGATAACGATTTTGTGCATTCTCTCTGTCACGACATGCGCTTCGGGGCCCGCATTGGCTATCACGGTAATAGATCCCGCCTCATCGCCCCTAATCTCCCTTCCGCATTGCTCAACCCTGCCGCCGTCTCTGCTTACCTTCAGTCTGAATGCACGCGTGGCCACATGGCCGGGCCTTATTCCCAACCCCCATTCCCTAATATCCGATGTTCTGGCGTTGGCATCGTGCCCAAGAAGTCTGGCGGCGTACGCCTCATCATGCATTTATCTGCCCCTAGCGGCTCTAGCATTAACGATGGCATTTACCCTGACGAATTCTCCCTGCATTACGTTACGGTAGATGACGCAATACGCTGCATCTTCCAGCACGGCCCCGGAGCTCTCCTCTCTAAGGTTGACATGAAGCACGCCTTCCGGCTCTGCCCTGTTTCCCCTGACGACTGGCCCCTACTTGGCATTTTTTGGGAAGGTTCGTACTATGTCGATAAGGTACTACCATTTGGCCTCAGATCCTCCCCGTTTCTGTTCAACAGACTTGCCGACGCTGTGGCATGGATTGCAGTTAATAATTACGATATTGTTGATTTGCTGCATTACCTAGATGATTTCTTTCACGTCCAGCCGCCCAACTCCGCAGCTATGCTCAAATTCAAGACACTGCTGGCTGTATTTGACATGCTGAACATCCCATTGGCCGACGGAGAGGACAAAGTGTGCCCGCCGTCAACTTCAATAACGTTCCTGGGTATCGAGCTCGACACAGCCGCCTGGGAGCTGCGCCTCCCGGCTGCGAAACTGGCGGAACTACGGCTAGCACTTGCCGCGTGGCTGTCGAAGCAGATGTGCACCAAGAGGGAACTGCTGTCCCTGGCCGGTAGCCTGTCTTTCGCAGCCAAAGTCATTCCAGCGGGTCGCACGTTCTGCAGACGCCTGTTCGACAGCGCAGCAACGCTCACTAGCCTAGATGCACCGGTAGCCGTACCCTCGGAGGCGAAGCTTGACATCCTGTGGTGGGATGCCTGCATCAGCCAATGGAATGGTCGGAAGCCCCTCATCGAGCCGTCCTGGAGCACAGCCGAAGACATCGGGCTGTACACCGACGCTTCGGGTCGACACGGTTTCGGTCTGGTTTTCGGCAGCAAGTGGTCCTATGGCGCATGGTCTCCTGACCAAGCTGAGCACACTATTGAATGGAAAGAATTGTACGCCGTGATGTTGGCCCTCTGTACCTGGGCACACACGTTGGAGGACAGACGAGTGCTACTCTACACTGACAACGAAGCAATCTGCTACATCTGGCGCTCTGGCACGTCCCCAAATAGAGCGGTCATGAACTTGGTCAGGGCCGGCTTATTGAAAGCCGCCCAGCATAACATTGTCCTCCTGCTTCGCCACATCGCCGGACACTGCAATGATCTTGCTGATTCTCTCTCCCGTCTGCAGGTACGGCGCTGCCGGACCCTCAACCCAACTGCCGACGCAGCGCCTACACCACCAGCGCAGTCCACCCTCCATCAGTTGATGACGCAGCCATGGAGCTCATCCGTCACGGCCTGGCAGACAGCTCCAGCGCGACGTACGCTTCAGTGCAGCGTTCCTACGAACGCTTTGCTGCCATACGGCAGGTCGCGCCGTACCCGGTGACGGAGCCCAGCCTGATTAACTTTCTGAATTGGAAATTCTCGTCCGGCTCGTCTGGCTCGTCTCTGAAACTCTACACCCAGGCGCTGAGACATCAGCACGTCCTGCAGGGCCTCTGCCTGGATGTTTTCGCCTCACCGCGTGTCCGGCTGCTCCAGCAGGGGGCGCTCAGATCCCAGACGGCAGTCCGGAAAGTGCTAACGGCCGCAACTTTGGACGATCTGGCTGGCGTACAGCACTACCTGCAGTCCACTGTGCCTAGCCCGCACAACCGCGCCATGCTCTGGAGCGCCGTGACTCTGGCCTTCCACGGGCTGCTCAGAGTCAGCGAGTACACCTTCACGGCACGGGGCGCCGGCCTTGAGTACAGCGATGCGACCATGTACCCAGACCGCGTGGAGCTGCGCCTGCGCGTGACAAAGACGAGCCAATACGGCAGCGGCCAGGACATCAGCGTCAGGAGGACAGGCTCGCCGACATGCCCGCACACGGCAGCCACCAGCTACCTAGCAGCCCGTGGCTCGGCACCTGGCCCGCTCTATCGCTATGATGACGGCACGCCCCTGAAGCCGCATAACATCAACAGGCTACTACAAACAGCCTTGCCTAACAAAGACGTGCGCAGCCACAGCCTCAGACGAGGCGCTGGAACGCTGGCAGGCAAAGCTGGCGTGCCTGAGTATGTGCTGAAGACCGCCGGCAGGTGGCAAAGCTCTGCCTACCTCCGATGTCCGCACCCCTGTCGCAGACAGAGCATTGCCAGCGGCGTTGTTCTAGTCTCTGCCCGTTATGCTAATGGGTAGCCGCATTGGACGGCCCTAGCGACAGCTGTAGTGTACATATGATATACATATTATACTATAACTATGGGAATGCTACTATAACTATAGTAATGCCGATAATTCCTGTTTGGGTCATGTTGTATTTTTGGGAGAACGGTAGGGATCGTGGGTCAGGCCGGCATTGAGCCAAGTGCGCCTACATGTGCTCACAAGTGCATCCCTACCGTATGCTCACGTATTGACACGCCTAAGAACGGTAGGGATCGTGGGTCAGGCCGGCATTGAGCCAAGTGCGCCTACATGTGCTCACAAGTGCATCCCTACCGTACGCTCGTGTATTGACACGCCGGGCAATTGTTGCCCCCATTAGCCCTGGCATTGGCCAGTCTAACGCACATTGGTGCTTGCGATACTACGGCATTGGACCATAGTATTGCATACTGTATGCGGCAATTGTTGCCTATGCCCTGATAATACAACGCGTAATAGCTCCCAAACAGGTCGGCTTGTTGTGTGGTTGTTAAATATAAGTTTCCGTGCATGGCACGGTAAGTGAAGTTAGCAACCCACCAACAATTACATTCCTAACATAATTTGCACGTACTTGCCATAGCGCATCACGTGCCCGTGCAGAACACGCACTCCGAACTCCCGCGCTCCGGCACGGGACCACGCGGAGCATGCGCATTACTCCGGCTCTCGATGCTGTTTCTTCATCCTTGCTGCACCAACAGTCAGATCGCTTGACAACCTTGGCCAGTTTTTGAACACCACCACCCACCCCATCATCTCTAACCATCATTCTATTCTAAGCCATCCCGGAAGGGAGAACGGTAGGGATCGTGGGTCAGGCCGGCATTGAGCCAAGTGCGCCTACATGTGCTCACAAGTGCATCCCTACCGTATGCTCACGTATTGACACGCCTAAGAACGGTAGGGATCGTGGGTCAGGCCGGCATTGAGCCAAGTGCGCCTACATGTGCTCACAAGTGCATCCCTACCGTACGCTCGTGTATTGACACGCCGGGCAATTGTTGCCCCCATTAGCCCTGGCATTGGCCAGTCTAACGCACATTGGTGCTTGCGATACTACGGCATTGGACCATAGTATTGCATACTGTATGCGGCAATTGTTGCCTATGCCCTGATAATACAACGCGTAATAGCTCCCAAACAGGTCGGCTTGTTGTGTGGTTGTTAAACGTATGTATCAGGTACTTAACGACATCCTAAAACCCGTCACCACCATGCGCTCTTAGCCGAACCAATGCACGAAGCATAAACACACCAGCACAGCAAGGACACTTCCATGAGTCTCGCCTCACCTGCACAAGAGTGACCATGCAACACCGTCTCACTACGCACAATAAACTTTCCAGTGGCATTATTATTCTTGCTTTCTTGCAATCAGTTATAGTGGCATTTTCGGGTAAGGTTTACGTCGCCTGTGGGGTGTGTTCCTCCACCAATGAGCGCGTACAACAGCTCTGCAGTCTGCACATTAAAACTGTTTCACATACCTGGAAGCACACACCCATCTTACCCACACCACGCACATGTACGATGTTCGCAGTGATGGATGAGATGATCTGAATGAAACAGATCAGGACCCGAGCCAAGTAACTCCCCAGTCAAAAAGCCGACAAAGCCATGCAAATCAAACTTCTAGGAACAGTATGTCCACACCACGGAATATAACGTGAAGACACCTACTTACATGTGTGTACACCTTACACATGCTAGGGTAACCAAGGTGGACCCCCCCCCCCCCACACACACACATTGTTTTCTTTTCTTTCTGTACTTTTGCCATGGCTGGGTGTCACCCTCATCTCTGGGGTTGCTCCCTACGCCCTAGTACTGAACTTCGTACATCTGTACAACGCGCAAAAGGTCTATTAGTGTTGTGCGCACATGCTACGAGATTGAGTTGAATAAATAAATAAACATATCAAACGTAGGATCATGCATTCTTACCTTACAGCAGTAGATGCCCCCCTTGCCACCAGTAGCTTGGCTAGATCAACATGATTATTCATGACTGCATCATGTAGAGCTGTGTCATTGTCATGCCCAGGACAGTTGATCAATGCACCATTGTCCAGTAGCAACTCTGCAACTAGACGATGGCCACGCACCGCTGCTTCATGCTATGCAGCACATAACAACGAACAAAATATAAAAATAAAAACACATCATACGCATGTACACACAGCACATAATGCATACACACAGCAAATCATCATGAAGTATGCATGGTGCTTTATGTCCAGACACTGTGCACATTATCAGTTGCATTACAAACATCACAATCATGAATCATTCAGAAATACACACTACACCAAGCACAAAACTGTCCAATGCTGTACAGTTCACAGCTACCATAGAAACAAGAACAAGAACCAGCACCAGCACCTGCATGAACTCTTCCCCTGCTGTAGCAGCAGCAGTGGCAGTAGCAGTCGCAGCAGTGGCAGCACTGGCAGCAGCAGCATTGACAGTAGCAGCACTGACAGTGGCAGTAGCAGTGGCAGCAGCAGCAGCACTGACAGTAGCAGCAGTGACACTGGCAGTAGCAGTACTGACAGTAGCAACAGACTTACAGTGTGTCACGCTAGCAACAGTAAGAACACTTTCGTGAAGCAGCGGAGCAGTTGTGGCAGCAATGCAGGAAGACAAACAAATGCGCTGATTAGAATGACGCAACCTACCAAAGGGGTCCATCCAGCATGATCTTTGACATTGACATCACAACCGGCAGTAATCCAACGCTGCACTTCCTCAACTTTACCCTGACAAAGCACCAACAAACCAGGGGTACTAACTATTAAAACAACAACAAACCTATCACATGTATACAAGAAATGCTGGGCAAGCAGAACTACTGCACTCAACCCTGCCTTATCCGGCCACTTTATGGCACCGTTGAGTGGAGTCAAAACTAGATAAGACGTGTCAACAGGGGAACTCGTCAGAAGCACTTCATATCCAGAGTGCTAACTATCCATCCCGCCAACCACACATTTTGTACATATCACATCATGACAAAAGCAGGTAGGGATCCACACTGTAAAAACTATGATGTATATCGACGTGATGCTGACAACAGGTCACACCATCGCCTACAGTGCGTCTCAAAAGCATAGACCTCTGATTTCAAAAAAAAGCTAGGCCAGCATCTATATCACATAAAATCTGTGATCACTTTGTGCATAACATTTCCGAAATCGGGCGTTTGTTATCCAATCGCCTAGAAGTCGATGTGAGAAAAATTGGGGGAACTGCCCGAGCAATATCCTGAAGAAATTTCTCAAAAAACCCAAACCATTCTAAGCTCAAACTAAATTTGAATCACTCGAAAAAGTCTAGAGGTCTATACTTTAGAAATGCAGTGTAGTGGGTATTACGGCTGCTGCACTTCCTCGTCCACACACCACAAGGCCAGTACAGTACTGGAAAACTGAAATCCGACCCCTGAGACCGGCGCGCTAGCCAGCACCCGATCTCATTGCCCTCGAGGCATGGTCAACACGTGCATCCAGTGTACGTGATGATCGTATCTACACTTTAATAGGTGACTTTATGTGCACCATACGTACCCCGCTATCAGTCCCATATATGGCCAAGGACTTGCCAGCCGAGATCTACGGCCGGCTGAAGAGGTAAATGTGAGTCAACTGCCGGAACGGTAAAAACAACTTCACTACGTGACAAGACAGGGACAGTTTGCCTTGTTTTAAATAAGTGTCGCGGACTGACGCGACGAGTTCCACTCCACTGACGTTAACAATGCCAAGAGATAATGAACCTCACGGGATACCCGGGGTTCGATGCCGAGAGAATTACGAACCTCACGGGATACAAGAGGATGCAGGTAAGCAACACAGCAATATGTTACGATCAAAAAAAAGAAACTGGACAATTTATTGAGAATTGTGTTTCTTTGTAAATTCTGTGTCAACAGGTAAAGGACACGATCAGAAAGGTTAGGGAAGGGAGGTCTATAACGCGCAGGCCAGGAAGTGGGAGCATACCGATGCTGTCACCAGACGGGATTGATTACGTTTTTGAATATCTCGAAGCCAACCCATTGGCCACGAGCAAGACAATATCGACTCATCTGGATCCAGGGGTTCGTCCTGGGGGTGACGCTGCTGAACCGTGGACCATGGTGGACGGTCGGACTCAGCTTGAATCGAGCTGGCCACAAGTGGCCACATGCTTAGCTGGCACGACAGGGGCATGCACACCCATCGCTAGAGTACATTTTCAGCTGAACGGATCGTACGAGAAAATCCAGGGGTAGGATTTCAGCTTCTAGTCCTGTGAAGAGTTTTTCAAGATTTTCTTGGAGAAACCTGCGCATCGCAGCTGCTCGGTTTGCTACTTTCCCCTGCCCTCGCAATCAGTCTGGCTATTGGTGGATACACGGACATCAACGGAGTCGCACTCTATTACTGTAAAACCGGAAAATTTCAGTGGAAATTTATTTTCGGTAACTTCGATACAGGAGAATGAAGTTGAAGACACCAGAAGAAGTTCAAAGATGTCTTGGTCAACATCCGAACATTACATTGAAAGAGGTATCTATTTTCTTGCAAGAACGATGAATTGACCGTGCGATTGCTCAGTGATCTGGGCACAGCGTATGAATTAAACCCGAATCGGGTTGATTTGACTCCGATGGAGATTGCCGAGTATCTATGTAGGACCTCATCAATGGTTTTCGTCAGCGGCGAGAAACGCCAACGTCTCCCGAAGATCGTCGTGGACGGTGTGGAGGACTATGGGACAGCATCAAGCCGGGATACTGGCAGACTGCTGCGATGCTGGGACGATGGACGCAGGTCCATGTTTAACCTGTCGAAGGCTGAAGGCGCCCTCGATAACGCAGAAGAGATAGAAGGCATGGACGCCGTCCAGTTTATCAAGGACTTGAATAGCAGGAAGATCTTTCGGCAAGACTTGAAGATGAACAAGTATACGACTAAAGCTGTTCAATTGTCAGTCCTCGCGACAAGGATCACACGCATTGTCGTACGTGTTGGCACAATTGACATCGACGAACAAGGCCATCATACGAAGATGCCTGAAGTAGTGTGTGACAGTATTGAAAGCCGGAAGAGGAAGGCGTCTGATAGCATCGTTCGTGATGATGAAGATCCGAAAAATTGAAATTACAACCCAAAATACTGCAAAACTATGACTTCTGATTAATATAAAATTGAAAAAAGTGAGATAAAGTTCACATTAGAAATGATGAAAAAAAATGATACATGCGGAATTCCAAACCATGACACCATATTAATACCTTATTGTTTAGGGTAGGGTATAACACCCCACCCCTAAAAAAAATTTTTTTTTAAGTGAGATTCGAAACCACATGCACACAATACAATCATTCAACAATACCCCTTTTTTGGGGCAGGGCGCCCCTGGCAGAGAACCCGCTCGTTACCTCCTACAAGTGATTTTTACCAAAAAAAACGCGACCTAAAATTCAAAAAGCCATGCCACACAGTGTGCAAAATGCATTTTTGGATCTGGAAAACTGGTTTACTGAAATGTTCGCGCCACCGAGCCGTTGATTTTGGGAAACACCGAAAATCGTACACCGCGGAAAATTCCCGATTTTACAGTATGCAGTGAAGACATACAAGTACAAGTAGAGTGCTGGCAACTGAAATCCGACCCCCCTAGCGGTGCGTTCACTTTTTAGCAGTCTCTGTTTCGTAGTTTTGCCAAACCCATCCTGTGTTGGGTCTTTGCGATGTGAGCACACCGCTCAGGGGTCGGATTTCAGTTGCCAGCACTGTACAACAGTTGTGGCTAAAGAATCCAACCCGTGCGCCAAAAGCTGTCCAAAGGCTCATGCGCCCCTGTGGCCCTTGGATGGGCTTTTGGACAGTGCATGATGTGATCGAAAAATGAAAACGCGGCGCTACTTTTGACTTGTGGGTCGTATTTCTTTGGCCACGACTTTAGTACATGTACAGTCTGTATCGGCTATAGAGTGACCGGATATAAGAATATATCGGCTACAGTGATATTGGTACGAAATATCAAAAGCAAAACGTATTTTGTCCAATACAAATATCACTATAACCAATATTATCGGATGTAATGATATATCGGATATTATGATGGCAACAAAGAATCAAAACATGCATAACACACTATATTATTATCGGGTATAGTGATAACTTTAAAATACATGTAGCAATAATATCAAAGGCCCTATTTTTTACTTTCTTCACGTTGCTTATTTTTATAGTGATACATGTACATGTACATAACAGAATTTTTTATGGAAATGCGGGCACTGTCAACTATGCAGCATGCTCATTTGTCAAAACGCCATGCTAGCTGGAAGTATTTCCTTGCCTTTCATGTGTCGATCGAAAAAAGAAAAAAATCGATCGTATCGCATATAGTGATGCATCGGTTATAGTGATAAAATCACGGAGATCAAAAGGGTACGCTATAGCCGATACAGACTGTATATGATTTACTTTGGCCGGTTGGCACCAAGCGGTGAAATCAGCGAAATTAAATCGCCAGCGAAAATTAGTTGATTTACAGTAATTTATCCTACACAGTGGTGTTCATTATGTCAGGAGTTGACTGCACCTTGTAGAGTGAGTTTCAATATGACATACTACTACTACTACTACTACTAGCCTACTAGCCTACTAGCCTACTAGGCATACACATGCAGCCCAATGTTCTCAGTCATAGGCACCTTTCGGTCGCATAATGCCCAGACATCGTTCGGTCACAAAACGGCCAGACCCCTTTCGGTCCCGTTACGTCGAAAATGAACACAATCCCCCCCCCCCCCCCCCCCACACACACACACCTACACTTACCCTCACCCACCCTCGCACCCACCCGCCCACACACAAACCAGCACCTACACCCACACGCACGCACACGCACATATGCACGCACAGCACGCTACATACCTTGACAGCAGCAACATGAAGGTGGGTTTCACCCTTAGCATTCTTCCACTTGTGGGACGCCTGACGTCCTGAACGTCTACTCGGTGTTGCTATTGCCAATACTGGCAATGTACCAGATGCCTGTCTTTGCCGACCAGTTGATCTACGCTGGCGAGCAGGGACGGCAGCTTCACAAGACAAACTGCGTTGGTGAGATGGCCGCTTAGCCGCCGCCACACCTTTTCTTGTTGTGCCTGCTGCTGCTGTTGACCCGTTGCCTGTGTGAGTTGCTGCTGGAGTGGTTACAGTTGCTGTTGACCCGTTGCCAGTGCGAGTTGCTGCTGGAGTCACCACAGTGCTTGCTGCAGGCGTGATGTCCTGGGAGTCTGTGGAGTGAGAACGCTTTCTAGTGCTCCTCTTGTTTGTCGCTGTGCCAGAGGCTGGGCTAGGTGTGGAGGAACTCCCTGAAGGCAGACGACCAACAGCAACGGACCATCAGAACATACAGACATACATTGCAGCTCTGTATAACAATGGTACTAGTGAAGCCCACACTAACCATTGTCCACCCAGAAAAACACCGACCCAGAGAAAGCACATCATTATAATGCTGTGGACATTGAAAATCCGGAGGAATGACCGTGGCCGGCGGCGCCCTTACTGTCTTAGCATGTACACACACTATAGTTCATGTACACACTGTAAACAATGGACCAGCAGTGCTCACAGCGGCTGCAGGGCCAGCGCCCCGTGGCCCCTGGACTTCTCAACGGATGTCAATGTCCACAACAGTACAATATACATGTATATAGGCACATACACACAGACACACATACACACATACACATACACACACACACACACATACACACACATACACATACATACACACACATACACACACATACATACACACACACATACACACACATACACACGCATACACACACACACACACACATACACACACACACACACACACACGCGCGCACACACACACACACACACACACACACACACACACACACACATGCCTGACAAAGGAGACAATGCACGATGTCACTCGCCCAGGAGAGGCTCTAGATAACAGGCAGGAGCAGTCTACATGCATGTGCTTTGCTTATGTAACATGCACATGTATGCACCAGGCTGTACAGGTGCATACACATAGTCATGTACATGACTATGTACATAGTCATGTACATAGTCATGTACATGACTATGTACATGACTATGTACATAGTCATGTACATAGTCATGTACATGACTATGTACATAGTCATGTACATGACTATGTACATGACTATGTACATAGTCATGCACAGTCATTACAATCATTGTATGCAAGACTGAGATCTGCCGCTGCAGTGGCAGCAAGATTGCTGTCCATAACTTGAATACATTTAGTCATTACCAAACTGAGACATGAACAAACAATCTGTTAGTCACTGCGCACACAATTCCATTATGATACTGATCTTGGGCCTTGCCAAACAGTAGGCCCATATATACCTCCCCCCCCCCCCCCCCCCACACACACACATGGTGTATGCCATGCTGCACAGCTGTACGCCCCCCCCCCCCCCATCCATGGTGTATGCATGAGGCTGCACAGCCGTGTGCCCCCCCCCTCCATGGTGTATGCATGAGGCTGCACAGTTGTGTGCCCCCTCCATGGTGTATGCATAGCGCTGCACAGCTGTGTGCACCGGCTGCATGTATGCCCATTCCACGGGAGAAACGTCTAGGACTGGCTTCAGCGTGTGGTGGCACGCTTTTTTGATCGGTCACCAAAAGAACTGCCGCCCTGAAGAAGGGCCAAGGTGCAAGGAGACTACGACGTTGAGCAGCACACGAGTTAGTCAAGCACGCACCAACAAGATGGACCAACCTGCAACCTGCCTCTGCAGTGCGGATGCTGGAGCAGTGGGAGCCCTTGCTCCACTATTTTCAGTTGTGCCCAGATGTCTACAAACTGCAGCATGTAATCGACTGGGCATCATTGATGGAGTGACCAGAAACAAAATCACATTTTCTGTTTCTGAGAGAGATTCTCCCAATGTTCATCACCTTCAATCTCACTTTCCAAAGTGAAAATGTAAAAGTGCATTTGCTTTTAAAGTCCCCGGCCCAGCAACTGCACAGAATGCCCCTGTATATTGCGTGAAGGCTTCCACAGTACACGGCACAGATGGCAACATGGATAAGGAGATTCAGCTTGACATCCATGATGACAAGCTGAAGCGGTCAAGACGGGACATGATTATTTCAGCGAACGCTATGGCATTGCTCTCCACCTTGCCGGACGAAAGGCGAAAGCGGTTTGCAACCAAAGTCCGCAGTTTTTACCAGATGCCTGCAGTGCAGGTCAGGAGAAGGCTGGCTGCCTCTAACGTGGCCAGCAGTGCTGCGTGGGCTTGAGTTCCTTCGTCCTGCAGCTGGAAAGGACTGTGTTGCTCAACGTGTGTGTTTCCGCAGGCTGTGAGTACTGGTACATGCATCGGCAGCCTGGATGCGTTGGTCCGGGAGTGGCAGTGCGTTGGTCCGGGAGTGGCAGTGCTACCAGTGTACCACGCACAGAAACCTTCCCACCGAAGTCGACTGCTGCTGGCATGACGCAGCTGGGAGGCTAGCCGGTATCAACGGGGATGCACAGTTTCCAACATTGTCATCAGTGGCCCCATGCTGCGCTTTCCCTGGCACGATCAAACGCCGACATTAATTCTGCCAATTGTGCACATACATCAGCAACCCAGTGGATTTTCTCATTTTTCTGGTATGTTGTGTGCCAGCATGATTTGCTTTCCACTCTATTTGAATACTAAAAAAAGATGGCATCTCCCTGAGAAAATGTCTTCAGCCAATACTGTATAGCAGGAAATTTTCGTACGATTTCGTACACGGCCACTTTTGTACTAAAATTTGTTCATGTGAAATTATGTACACTATACATGCGTACTGCATGCAAACACGTGCATTTAGCATGCAGCCCTGTACGAAAATAAAATCCGTACGAAAGATCAAAATTCAGCTTTGTCCGAAAATATTCCCGTCCGAAAATTTCCTGCTATACAGTAGCTAGCTATGCAGCTGCAAGACATGCCTGT